GCCTCGAGCCTCTACAGATGCAACACGGAAAACGAGTGCTCGGTCATGTGCTAGAGCAGTGCAAGCCTATCTGAACTGCATAGGGGGATGGGTCTCCACAAAACATAGCCTCGCTTGGTTCGCCGAGTCATACGACATGCAAGAGGTCAGAGCCTACTGGCCTTTCCTTAGCAAAGACGTCCAAAGATACATAGCCTGCTTTGAGACCCTTGCCCAGCTCGCCCTAGCCATGACAGCCAAAGCTTATCATGGCCACACCAGACTTAGCCTCTGCCTGCCAACCCAAAGTGACAATACCCCCACGGAGGGAGGGGTCAACAAGCTCTTTACCACTTCTTGGCCTTCCTCGGCTTGGTAGCCTCTTGGAGCTCCGCCAACAGCATACACCTGCAAGTCTCGCACAGAGTCTGTTAGCCTCTGCGGAAGCCTCTGCATCCTGGACGCCGTCCTCACGGGGAGAAGAACCTCCCTTTGCTCGGCAACAGAGAGTCTTTCAGCCTTGATCGTGCCTCTGAAGACAAAAAGGTCAGCGCAGTCCGACTGTGCAGTTGCACTTTGCCTTTGCCTACGTGCCTATTCAACTTGCCGAGGCCAGATGCACCGCCCGCGGTGGGGGAAGTTGTCATCACATGCGCCTGCTGCCCGTTGCATCTGTTCGCTGAAGTGGGGATTACCTTGTTGGCCCTCGGCTAGCCTACCTGGCCAGGGCCCCCCTTAGGCTAGCCTCGAGCCTTCACAGATGCAACACGGCTAAAACGAGTGTCCCATTTAGTGCTATAGAGCAGTGCAAGCCTAGTTGAACGTTACACACTGGATTTCGTTAGCAAAAACCCCTCCCGCCCACTCCTAGACACCATGCATTCATGGTAAGCATACTGCAGGTACGGTGGCCTCACTGGTGCCTCAGCCCCAGACAGCCGATAGCCTTTATACAGCTAGCCACTAGCTTTGCCTCTTGTGGCCGGTGCGCACTCCGGCCTAAAGCAGACAGGCCTCTGCCCTGCCCCAGGTACGATGGCCTCATCGGTGCGCGAGCCCCAGAACGCCACAGGCCCTCAGCACAGCTTGCCTCTCGCTTTGCCTTTCACTGCAGGCCCGCAAAGTCGTGCTCTGTGCATTGCCTCTAGCCGATCTAGGTAAGTGTCCCCGTAGCCTCTGCCCCAAGCCCTAAACACTCCGCTGCCAGGCCATTCGACTTCTTCTTCGACATGGAACTCCCTTGTTTCACTGTGAGCCGATCTTTACAGCTTTCACCACAGACCCAGCCTGCCTCACGCGGGGGCCTACTTAGTTGCTGCGGCTAGCCTCGTCTCCCCGCCTGGGGAGCCTGGAGGCACCAACCTCAGCCTCTCAGGTTTGCCCAAATCACAGGCTCTCTGTAGAGCCTAGGTATAGGCCTCAGCCTCCAGGTCTCACTTTGTTTTCACAAAGCCTAGCCTGAGGGCATTACCTTTTTGGCCTTCGGCTAGCCTACCTGGCCAGGGCCCCCCCTAGGCTAGCCTCGAGCCTTCACAGATGCAACACGGCTAAAACGAGTGTCCCATTTAGTGCTAGAGCAGTGCATGCCTAGTTGAACTTGTAGGTGTGTGGAAACAAAAAAGTTGTATCGATTGTGCTGCATCGTCGCCCGGATGGCGCGCGTTGCAATTTTTGTTCATATCTTAGGCGTGCATATGTTTTTCTTGGCATTCCCCATGTCCTTTTAGGACCGTATTCTTGGACTCGAAGGGGCGCAAAGCAAAGCTGCAGGCGAGAGCTGGCACGGACGCAGTAGCTGCGCACATCATCCGAGTCGACACGGTCGTGGTATCCCTGGACGGCCGCAGCGCCGACGATAGTAAGTCTCGCGCAGCCTTCCGGGCGAAGCCGCGCCAGGTGGCCCCGGAGCTGCTTCCTTATGTACGGTTGTTTCATGGCCAGCCGTCCACCTAGTGTTGGTGGGACGCGGGAGGGCATTGTCGCGACATGCGGCAAGCCGGAGGTTGTGAGCAAGGTGATGACCTTTACGGCAACCACCAAGCCGCCGAACCGGACTGCTCGCCCGCGAACCAAGCCCCTCGAGCATGCATGGGTGCGCATCGCGCGCGAGGCCGCGCTACCACTTGGCGAGGCGCTCTGTTGCGACGTCACGCTTGTGTCGCCTCTGACGCGCGAGGGGCGGCCCCAGCCTTTTGCTGCCACTCGTGACGGTGCAACCATAGTTGTCGCAGAAAGGCGCAAACGAGTTGCCCACCCTGAGCTCCTGCGGCCGGGGCCGCAGCGTCTGTGCGTCCTCGCTTGCGGAGCTGGGGGCCGATGGGGCGCCGACAACTCGTGCGACTCCGAGCCGAGCGCGCCCCTGCCGCCCTGCGCCCTGCTCCTAGACAAGGATGGCTGTGCTGGGCCTGTAGTGCGCAGCTTGCACGGGGAACTGGACTTTTCCGTTTCGCGGACATCAAAAAGGTGCGCGAAAAAGAAATGGCTTAGCCCCGACACTCTTCGCGCTCGGATAGCCTCGTCGCCTTCTTGGATGACTTGTACGTCGTGACCACCCACGCCGCGCTCGCAATGCACTCAGCACGACTGTGTGAGGCGGTAGCGACGCACTGCGGCATAGCGTCCAACCTGGGCAAGACCCGTGCCATCGCCTCCACACAGGGACCGCCACCCCTGGCAGGGCGAGAAGCCAACCACCGAACGAGGCGTGGTCGTTCTGGGGTCGCTCATTGGCCATCCAGACTTTGCTTGTGCCCGGGCAGACGGCTGGACCCCATGCGCACCAGCCAGTCCGCCACCCACGAAACCATTTGGCGAACTTTGCAGGCATGTTGAGGCGGGGTTCCCTCACAGGAAGCGGCACAAGCCGCGGGAACTGGGCGGCCTCGGTTTGCAGTCGGCCACACTACTTGGCAGCCTGGCTGATGCACTCCCCGTTATCCGCACGCGACTCCCGGAGTGGGCTGATTGCTACCTCCGAGAGCTGGACCAGGAGAAGACGCTGCACCGTGTCTGCGGGAAGCGGACGAAGCCCGCAAGATCTTGGCGGAAGAAGGGTGGAGCGACTGCCCCACGAGGCGAGCAATTGTGGAAGGCGAGAGGCCCCGGCTCGCCCACGCGACGGCCCCAGGCGTGCGATCCGACGACTGCCGACGCCTCGACATGGTCGTGTATGGAGCCACGGCCAACGGGGGGTGATGCGACGCTCGTGTCGCCATTGACCCGCACGGGACACCCACAGCCGTGCGCGGAGGCGATCGACGGGAGTGCGCACTCCGCTTCTTGCGTGATCTCGTCCACCTCCGAGCGCAACGGGCGCCGCCTGCTGTCCAGGCATCTTGGCCGTCGAAGTCCAGCAGGCCGTTGCGGGCACGGCCCTTGGTCGTGCGTGGCCCGTTACAGTACCGCAAGCTGGACCGGAAGCTGGGCCCAGCCTGGACAGGGTGCTGGACCTTGCCGAAAACATTGGGGCGAGTCGTCTGCCGCTCCGGCCGTAATTAGGAGCCCGTAAGCCTTAGGAAGCCAGCGGGAAAGCCACGGGCGCCAGAGACAGCAGGAAAAAGGCGCGTGTGAAAAAAAGATGCAACACCTCTGGTGGGATAGGCTCGCGTGGCTGTGACGGCCGTTTGGCTGGGTCTGTCAGGGCGGCCAGGGTCACCGCATCGCCAGGCGCCGAAAAGCCTGGGGTTGTGAATGTCAAGCAAGGGATCGCCGTGGCTCATCTCCAACGCCGCCTCGGCGTACGAGCCTGCAGGGCCTGCCTTGGAACAGGTGTTGGCGCTCACTGAGCCAACGGGCCCGAGCCGCCACCCGCTGCACTAAGCGCGGGCTGTGAACGCCCAGCACGCGCATTTCTGCGCCAGTGATTCTTACGCCGCGCGCTGCTCAGGAAAAAAGCGAAGCGTGTGTTCGTGGAGTTCTGTACAGCACTATTTGGACATAGCACTATTTGGACATATCCAAAACCGAATCTGCATCATCACTGCTTCGGCGGTTGCGCATGTGTTTCAGTGCATGTCTCAGGTCGGAACGTTGGAATGGCGGGACAACTGGACAGTTGAAAAACAGGGTTACTTCGACAAACCTTTGCGTGATGCACGTCGCTTGATGTACAAATCTCAGACATTCTCAGAGTTTGTTTCAGACAAACAATTTGTGAAAGCTTCAAGGCTCGGTTGGCATATCCGATGTCATACTCGGATCATGTAATGAAGCCTTCAATCCTTGACATTCTCGACACTCGGAGTCGTAGTCATCTTGTGTTTCTGCCTGTGGTGCTCCAAGAGCTCGTCGTTTTGTGTGGATTTGCTTGGAAAGCGCCCGCCTCTCAGACCCATCTCGTGATGCTTTCTTTTGCTGTAAGGGACGTTGAAAATCGGTACCACAGTTCTCGATTGTTGACACTTCATGGTCGGATGTGTCCGTTGCACGCGCGAAAGTTGTTGGAAGCTCGTTTCGCTGCAACTTAGCACAACATGGTCTCGTGGTCCCATGCTGCATCGAAGACGTGTGTAGGCCCGCAGACAGGTGAATCATGACGAACTGCTAGGTTTCAAGATGTCGGTGTTCGATGCTGAGGAGCAGTGACTTGACGGCTGGGTCGCTGGAGATGGAATCGCTTTGCCAGGACATCGTGCGAGCCGGGTGCCGGGTGCGGCGGTGTTGCGGTGATGAATTGGTTTGCCATCTCTAGGGCTCTACCTTTTCTTCCCTCAGGTTTTGGATTTCTTTGACGTACGTGACGGTGCTCTTGTCGGACATGGTGTCGGTGGTAATGTGGACGCAATACGTTGTTGGCTGTTCGGTGTTTTTGTCCATCCAGTATCCCGAGGCTTCATTGCCATCCAATACTTGCTGAATAATCCCAAGCATGCCAAGACGAGGACCGAAACAAGACAGACATCAGACCTAGGACATTTTGCTACGATGCTGTTGCCGAAGGCTCCCGCATGGATTTGTTTGCATTGCGTCCGATGCCCGGGCTGCTTCTTCAAGAAGGGTCGATGTGAGTGTCTGTATGAAGCATGCAGTCTCGAGGTGTTCTGCAGGCAACTTTCAGGAGACTGTCGGCCATGACTTGCTGAGGTTGGCAGTTCAATGGGCATTGCGATATCATGAATTGAATGCCTTTGAACTCCTCGACAAGGCAGTTGTCGAAATTGTTTGCAGTTCGGAGCTCAGCTTGGTGCCTGCATGCCGTATCCTGCATGCTTTGGCAAAAAGCACCAAGTGCCAAGGTGGTTCGCTTGCCAGAAATTGTCTCCTATTTCGATTTGTTCGGGGAGGCATTGTGCCAGTGTTCCATTCCACGGCCCCAAGATTTGATCTTGCTATATAGCGAGGTCTCGATATCCAAGCGGCTTGGTGCCAATGCCTCCTTTGCAGCCGTGCGGGTTGCCTTAGAGGCAAGAACTCAAAGACCAGCCTGGCCTGGCAAAGCAAGAGCTGTGCCAACCTGCCTTCAAGGCAAGCCGAGCTGCAGCCAGCGAGTGGGCACTTCGAGCATTGGCCGCAATAGAGTCGGACTATCAAGTAGGTGGCGGAGCGGTACAATCGCACGCAGGAAACCTCAGCGACATGCAGTGGAACTTCGATTTGCATCCACACATTCCGGCCCTGACATTGCCTAGTGCAACAGCCTCAAGCAGCAGAGGTTGGATGTTTCTGCACATCCATGAGGGCTGTTCTGAGGCTGTACTTCTCAGCTCCGATGATGAGCGGGTACCGTGATTCTGCTCAGCTTGTGTCAGCCTAGTATGAGAGGAATCGATTCTGCTGCAAACTAGGCGCCCGACTGCATTGAAAGATTGCTTCGAAGCCTCGGGATCCTTGCGTTGGTCTCCAAGCTTTTGCTTCGCCTGGCCGAGCGACAAACTTCTTTGCTTGGTTGCGATGGAACGCCTGAGGCGCATTCAAGCTCTTACAAGATGCAGGCCACATCCCAATAGTTTCGCGCCTGTAGGCCACCTAGAGCGTAAAAACATGCACACGAGGCCATTTCCTGCCGCTGACGAGCTTGATTCTTGGTTGCTGCAGGAATACGTCTTCGTGTATGATCAGTAAACATATGTGCTGGGCATTTTCGCGCAGGGGCTGACGAGGTTTCACAGATTGTGGCAACGGCACTCTCTGGCTAGACGGCAGAGGCAGTGCTTGCCGCATTCTCGGGTGTATGTCGATTCTCCCGGCTGCGGTTCCAGGACTTAATCTGTTGTCCCAAAGGGCATCCGCGGCATGACGGACGTCCCGGACATGCAGCAAATGTCCAGGAAGCAGGTGAGCATGACATGCAGCAGTCAACATTCTATGGAGGCATGTTTGGTTGGCCGTTGTGTATGTTTCCGAAAATCTCCGAAACTGTATGCATGAAGTTTACCGCTGACGGCCCAGGCTTCGCCATGTATCGATCTTAAGTTTCATGCGAATACATGCGACATCATTCTCGCTGTTGCCTCAAGCTTTTGCGCACTGGAGATCTGGTCTAGTCTACCTGATGTTTATCGGCAGGTTAGCGCGTGAAGCTAATTCGTTGATGGCCGCTCTTACGTGGAGCTTTGCAGCGAAGACTCCACCGTCGCCGGTCCCGGAAGGAGATGAAGAGGCGAAGAACTCTGTGTCAGCATTGCGCCACGGCACGACAGATTCAATCTGTATGGAGGTGAGCCCGTTACACGGCGAAAGGCAGACTGGAATAGCCTTACCACAGCTACACCATAGTCAGGCCAAGCTAGATGTCAGATGGCAGACCGCGGCCAGGCTCAAAGATTTGCAAACAGAACCTTGCAACCTGGAGGCTCGGGAATTGATTTGCTGGGCTCCCTCGTGCCTCCTGAGTGCGCAGGCTTTGTCTGGAGAATCCACCGATTGCAATTGCAGCAAGACCAGTGCATCTTCCTCCCAAGGTGCAGCGACTCTGTTTTTGTGCCCGGTTTGCTGCTGTCTGTACCAAAGACATATGGCCAACAACAAAAGCACGCAATTTCTCGTTCTTCACTCTACTCCTACTCCTACTCCTGATCCTGCTTCTCTTCCCTACTACTGCTAGTACGAGTATGATGTACTGGTGTAGTACTCGCTCGAAAACCTGGCAACTACACCGCCCAGGGTTTTGTGCGAGGGAAAGCAATACAGGCAGAGCGTCAAGGCGTTCATCAGGAGTGTTGGAAGGCTAGCAAGAGTTGTGGTGCTGGTACCATCCAGGCGGATCTCAAATCCGTGCTAGATCTGCCGGATGCCAGATGAGCACAAAAGGTTCTTGGCATCTAGTCCCTCCGAAGCGTTTATTCGAGCTTCTCGCCAGTGGTTGTCTTACCTCGGTGGAAGCTCAGGGGGTGCTTGCAGCTGCATGTGGCAAGTCCGGTACTGCCGCGTTCCGAAGCCGGACGCCACGCTTTGCTCGGGAGCCCTGCCAGGTCGGGACCTCGAAAGCTGAGAGCCATCGAGAGCCCTTGGAGTGAGCGCGAGGGAAGCCACGAAGCGAGCGCTGCAGGCGCGGGCTCCGCGGGCTCCGCTGCGGGCTCCGCTCCAGGAGCTCCACCCGCGCTGCGAGGCGCTGTACTTGGAAGGTCGCTGCCGGCACGCTGCGAGGCCTGGCTGTGCCCGGCTGTGGGCAGATGGAAACTTCGAGTGACTTCGAGATCCAAGGCGAGAGCAAAGCAGCGGCAAAGAGCAAAAGCCGCCGCTGGTGGAAGCGAGGCCGAAGTCCAAGGCTCCGTCGGCTCCGTCTCCGTCGGGAAAGGCTTGGGCAGAAGAAGTCCTCCGACGACACCAGCAACGGCTGCAGCAGCGAGAGGAAATGCGGCGCTGCAAGGCCTAAGTGGATGTTGACATATCTGGAAGCCTTTTTGTTGAGACCGTTGAGTCAGGCAGAGCAGCGCGCAGAAGAGGTCCTGTTCCTGCCTCGTGCTTCTGTGTCGGTCATGTGCGAGCACAGCAATCGGCAGGATCTGAAGGAATGTTCATTTGCACCAAAGCTCGTTTCTCGAAGCCACATTCAGCTGCAGATCAGAAAGGCCGGGGTCGTTTCGAGGTGGTTTCGCAGAATCTGCAGTATTCGTGGCATCAGGGGCGGCGACAGATTGAGCAGTTGGCGGAGCAGCAGCAAGCAATACTCTTTCGTCTCAATTGTTTCGAAGACGAGGACGACCAGATATCGACCACACCCGCAATCTGCATGGTTTGTGCTCAGTTGAGACAGGAGGTTCGCGCGGCATCCTTTGCACGCTGGTCGGCCAGCAGAGACGAGCTGCTCGGCAGGAAGCTGGAGAGCGGACTCTTGCAGCCTAAGTGAGCACCCTTCAGCACCAACCTGTGAGGAATCGATCTTTGCTTCTAGCGGAGCTTGCCCAAGTTGATGACGATGCCCACGCTGTCATCACAAGTTTGGTGAAATTGGGGATTCCGAGCGTCCGTCGCCGAGCTTCAACCAATCGGCTTTTTTGGTCCAATGTTTATTGGACACCTCAACTCCAGGTTCTCGAAGAGCCAGATCCCGGGACCCTTTGCCCTCAGTACGATTCCGGGCTTCTCCGCCGGCTGCGAATGGAAGACGCATGGGGCTTGAAGGACGGGAGGGGGGCAAGAGAGCTGTGGCATTTTGCCAGGCGACATCATGTGCAGATTCATGTTGTGCAGGAGCTGGCACCAATTCGAACTGCAGGTCCATTGCCTCCGGCGCAGATCTGATTATCCAATCGAAGGGCCACTGCTGACAAAGACTCGCGAGTCACAGGAAGTGTGGATTTGCGTCCGAGGCTGTGCATTTCCGGATGCACCAAATGTAGTGCAATAGTTTTTTAGTCTAGTGACATCACAGAACCGAGCGACTGGATCTGTGTGTCGTGTCCAAAGGGCAGCCGTTTCACACCGTGACCGGCATGAAAGATGCGCTGCTCCAGTCCTGTGCAGCTGATTCTTACCAGCCATCTTTTGCTGCAGTTGCATAGCAGGTGGGGAGGCAGTGCGATGCGGCAATGCGGTGGTTGGGCGACGAAGGTGGGAGGAAGTGATGGCGGGCAAAACGCTCCCCCTAGATGCAGGCAGTCATGGACGGCGCAAGCTCCTAACCCAATGTGCCGCCATTTCCTTTGAACTAGGTAGAGAGACCTCTGACCTACCGGTGTGGGAGACTTTGCCGGCTTGCTCTGGAAGAAGGTAGCTCCAGCCCAGAGAACTCTGCATGCATGTGCCAGTTTGTGTTGAGCAGATAGCATGCCCGCCACGATCCAGATCTGAATGGTTTCCGGCATGGGCTCAAGGTCATGCAGTCACTCACGGGGATGTGCAGTCGCCCCATATCACCCCGCCACATAGCAGGTTCTCGACAAGAGCAGTCTGTGCCTTCGAATGCCGGATGCGCACCAATCACTGCAACCTGCAACCTCCTTTCGAGCCCCTTGGAACAGTTGGAAAGACTTAGGTAAGTACCCGACCGTTAGCGCATGCCGATCCGGCATATCAGAGTGCATTTTTTTCTCAGGCCCGTCGCGGTGGCCGGGTGGAGCTTTCCACGCAGCGGGGTTGCATATTGTGTGGCTGTGTCGAAGTAGTGGATGGTGGAGCTGTGTGGTGCGTCGCAGCAAGCCACCGAAGGGAGGATGATTTGGAAGATCTGCTCGCGTCTGCAACTCAGCAAAGATCGGGAGAAGCCTTGACTATTCCTGGCCCCAGTCTCCCGGCCTTCCAGTGCAAGGGGGCAGCTGGCCAAATTCTATGTTTTTTGGCGGCCTTGCACGCCCTGCCCTGGTCCCTGCCCTGCCTCCCAACCAGCCCCGCTTCCAACTCCCAACCTTCTGGCCTGCCAGGCCTTCAGCTTGCCAGTCTTGTCTTCTTCATGCTTTCTGGGTTTTGACTGAATTTGGCTTTCGCGGCCGGCTTCTGGGATTTCGAGGGTGCAGAGACTTGAGGTTGATGCAGTTGCCTTTCAACAGAGTACACGTAATGGTAGAGACGAGAATACCAGTAGCAGTAGCAGTAACAGTGTTCATAACACAACAGCACAACCACTTCATTCGGCTGAAGACGCGTGGAGTCGTCGAATCTGAGCTTACGGGACCACACATTGCTGGGCCCCATATCGCGGTGGTCGCCAAACTAGTCCGTGAGCCTCCTACATCCGGTTGGATCCGCTCTGGCACTAAGTGCCTTCAGGGGCCCGTTCCTCGATGACATCCATGGGGCCGGAGGACGCTTCCGTCCCCTGCCACGATGGAGGGCCTTTCCGTGGAGAGGCAAGCAGGGGAGAGGATCAGAGCACCTCCCTCCAGGCAAACCTGCGGACAATGACATCCAACATGCTAGTGCTGAGTGCTGCGCCTGGGCTGAGAAACTTCCAGGTACACAACTGTTGGAGAAACTTCCCAGACCACCGGCCTTTTGGCCATCGTAGCCCATCATCGTTCGAAGACTTTCACAAGCAGGTGTGTACGGGGGAGGATCGAAAGGGCTCGCTTACAAGCTGGGACCCGAAGGGTCGCCTGCACGCAAGGGCCCTTCACCCCAGCTGAAACCAAGCCAAACCCTGATGCATTTTCAAGATTGCCCCCTTCATGTTGATTTCAATTTCTGGTGCGCAGGATTGTGTGCTGATGAAAAGACACGCAACAAGTAAGGATGATTTCGATAACCGTAGCAGTGGTCATCGTAGTAAAACTATGTAAAGGAAGTACCAAACCCTGCAAAACCTCCTAGATGGTGCCAATATACCATCACGGAATGTGTCTTTGGTTGGTTTCATTGGGGACTAACTCATCATACTTAGCAGAGCAGTCTATGCCGCACATAGCCGAGAACCATTCCAAGAGCTTTGCTGAGGTTTCTAAGAACTCCGAATGCACCACCGACCTGCACACGGCATTGCGGCGGGAGCATTTCGGGAGGCCCACCCGAACGCGACTTCGACAGGAAGACGATGCGCACTTCAAAGCACGCACGGCACAGTGGCCGGAGCACGATTGCAGAAGTTCCCAAACCCTAGAGCGAAAGGATTTCGCGACCACACAAGGAGCCCCGAAAAGGCAAGTGTCGTGTGGCCTTCGTTCGAGCGTTGGAAGAGAGGAATATGAGGACAAGAAGGTGGCAGGTGCAATATCCACTTAAATGCGAAAAAAAGCAGCGGAAGCGCTCTGCATCAAGTTCGCGGCCAGGCTAGTTAGATTTTACACTGCGGAAAGAAAGCGATTTGAGTCGAAAATGTGCACCACGCCATGGCAGACTTTCAACAATAAATTCAAGAAGCAAAGTAGCTTTGCATCCTTGCTGAGTGTCTGGAAGTGTGCTGTATATAGCTTCCTCCGTCGGCATCAGGAAAGTGGATGATACAGTCCCAGAGTTTGATCCACAGGACACGGAGCTCATGGCCTTGTCGTGTTTCGTGGCTCCTTCTGTCCCCGACCCTCCAGGAGTACATCCGGCCAGGTATTACAGAGGCACTCTCCAGCTTTGGATGCGGTAATATCCCAGATCGAGAGACTCGAGTTCGCGTGCAGGCGGAAATTCTGGAGATGAAGGGTGCCTTTGACCTGCTAGATGTAGAAGGCCCATGGCAGAATCCCGCGCCAGACTCTCTCGGTGCGCTTGGTTCTTGAGGTAAAGGCCGTCTTAACTTGGAGGAGGGGAGTTGGGTCCGGGGATGCGCAAATCACGGACCCCTCCCCTACCTGCTCGCGGGAGGAAGCCATCGACAACTTGGAGAACCTTGGATGGGACAGGCAGATGCAGCGCCGACTCCTGTCCCCGCAACACTTGTGACAGTTCCGATGTGGGAGGCTGGAGCAGGAGCCATTGATGGTTGCTATCCGTGCCTGCCGGCGCAAAGCACCGAAGACGGACTTCGCAGGAGATCTGGGTTCTTAAGATCAAGATCTACATCATGTCAGTGAGCACATGGCGTGATGCCGAGGGTTCATGGATGCGATTGGCCCGCTCCTCGCCGCGACTGAGCCTACCCAGGCTGGAGCTGGTCAGAAAGCCATGGCATAAGTGATCCCAAAGATTCCCCTGGCCCTACCACGTTCATGATATTGTAGCTTGCAACATGTATCTGTGCTGCACGGCTTCCTTCGTCAGGGCCGCATCTTTACATGGCTTCTCGCATGGCCTCCATCGTGTAGTTTGCAACACGGACAATTAGGTCGTTCGGTATTGTGTGTAGATATCAGATTATCCAGATGCCTTCCTTCATAATACATGCAGAAAGATCTGAAGGCGATGCGAAAACGCACATATACGTGGAGAAAGGTAGCCTTCACTGCCCTCCTCTGCCTCTGCAATTTGCAAAGGCCACCCCAAATCAAAACTCTAGTCGCATTCCTCGGAGTACGTAGAGACGTGGGAATGAGGTCTGCGTGCAGACAGTATCAGAAAAGTCAGCTTGTCGCTGCTCGTTTGTGTTTGTCAGGAGAGCCTGAGGCGCGCCTGGCGCCTCCTCGATGAAAACCGCAAGGGCCACATAGACATGGAGGATTAGGGTTCAGGGCCGTCCCAAAAGGCCCAAAGTCGGCGGTTTGGTCTCCGAGAGTCAGACAGGATCTGAGCCGAGTCGTGCACGGCTTTGGCCTGGAACTCTCCATCGAAGAGCTCCGCGACATGGTGCCCGGGCTTTCTCTTTGAAACTTGGGGCTTTTTTTTCTACAACTGATTTGTCTTTTTGAAGGTTGTTCTACAAGTTTTCTCTTCATCTCCAAGCGGCGTTAAGGTGGGTTTCTGCGACAAGAACGGCAGCAGCGAGGCCCTTGCAGCCGTAACGCACCCGCATTGCTCAAGCTTCTCCCTGTGCAGATCACGTTCGACGAATTCTACCAGATGCTTTCACGCCATCAGTAGCGGATAGACACGGTGTCAGCCGCACAGGAGCTAACGAGCCTTTGTGGGTCTTCAAAAAAATCGGGGTGCCCAACTTCGGGGCGTGATGTTTCACGAAGTTTCACGCTTTGCCAAATGATCTTCTTGGCAGCCGGGCCTGGCGCAAACACAAATCAAGGGTGCGGCAAAATTGGCTCTATACTTTGTTTCCCATTCCCGTTCCGTGAGAGTGCTGCGCATGCAAAGCCTTCTGCCGCTCGTGCTGGCCTGTCGGAGCGGCTCCCACCGGAACTCGCGATGTAGATGCCTTCTCGCGCACTAGCCTGCCCCCATGGCAAATCCGAATGCCCGATTCGAGACAACAGCAGGCCATGCTTGGTCAGTCATTGGGTTTCCTTAGCATCGGACCTGAAACTGCCAGGGGTCTTCACGGCAGAGATCTACTTGGATAGGGTGCCCCTGACACTCCCTCTGCATGGCGGCTACCTTCAAGTGACTGCGGATAAACGAGTCTTGTGGAGTTTCCGGCAGCTGAGCACCACATCTGCACCGGAGCATGATGGCTTCTTCTTAGTTCTTATCAGCCAAGAGCTGAAATCATGGGTGGGACGTGGGCATGCTGGAGGTGATGCGATTTGCAACCAGTTTAGTAAACGAGAGCGAGAGCGCAATCACAACGTTCTCCTGTTTTTACCTGGGCAGGTGAGAGCATGTCCAGGACCGGCTCACGGTCGTTGATAGGTGGACCTGCGAGTCCAGTTGCCTTGAAGGAGGCAGCAGAAATCGGAGATCTCACGACAGGCGACTCGACATCGCCCAGGTCGGCGACGCGCACCACCAGAGCCTCAACTGAATTTGAATCTGTCATCGGTGCGTGCGCGGCGCGGGGCGAAGAAGCCTGCATGTGTGCCTGTGCCTGTGCGTGTGCCTTTTTTGTGTCTGAGGCAGGCATGCGTTCCTGTCGGCGACGGCCCAGGCCCAGGGCCGAACGCTCTCGCTGCTCGGCCTGGGAGCGCTGTTCCCACTTGGCTTCGCACCTCCTCCGCAGAAAAACCCGCTTTGCGCCTCGCAAGGCATCAGAACATCGTGCCCGAGCTGCCGCGCCTTGGCGTCTTTGGGAGTTTTCGAGCGAACTGGGCCGGGCCGGGCAGGGGCAGGGCCGGGCTTCCAGGTCAGACGCCGGCTCCAAGTGGCAACGCCTCAAGCAGGTGGCCGCTCCAGGCAAAGCTTCAATTACGAAGCTGGTCCCCCAGATTCTCAAGGAACCTGGTTCAGGACTCCGCTGTAGCAGTTCTGAATTCTAGGCTTCGTTGGCTCCTTGTTCTCGTGTCTCCAGGAGGAATCGGCGTTGCGGCCAGACGAACTATTTTTGGTCACGCCAGGAATTTTCTGCACCCGGCCAGAACACTTCTCAACGAGTTCAGCAAGATTTCATGATAGATTTTGCTTCCAAGGCAGCGGCAGACTGCTCAGCAACCCGAGAAGATGATGCTGATGGTCCGCTCGGTTGTAGCAGGAAGTGGTGTAAAACCTGCATCGCTCTCCGCTGTCGCTGCAGCCGTTGAGACCATGAGCTCTGTTTGCGTTTGCAATCGCCAGAGGAGCCAAATCCCATGGACATCAGCAGGGCTTCGTGCCCTTCGGCGAGAAGCGATGGTCTCTGGTTTGTGTGGGCTGTGACGTTGGTGTGATTATGAGGACGGCCTTGCATGAGAATGCGGAAGAGAAGAAGCAAGAGCGCATCCTCCTGCAAGACGAAGTCGACCGGGGCCTGGAGTCAATTGTTGGGAGCCCCGGGCACTGGCAACTGGCAACTGGCCTCCTTGTGTAATTGTAGAGTCGGCAAGATGAGGATATGTCCTGGAGAACCGGTGCCTTGACTTCCTCGGACCTGCTTGATGAGGCGATTCAACAGGCCGCCTTACCCTTTGTGGAATGGCAGTCAGTGACCCTTTCAACAGCCTTTCAGATCCGAGTTTTTCGGGGACAGGTCGCAAGGCTCCGCGAGATGGCGGAAGACTCCGAGGCTCCAGCTCCCTTCCACTTACAAATCTGCAAGAGCTCCAGGCTCTTCGAACTCAGGCGGATGAGCTCCTGCAGCAGACTCATGACACCATCGACAGCTGCACAAGCCCGACCCTCATTACTGTGACGGGTCATGTCTATGCGACGGTTGCAGGTTGTGTCTCCGCTGCTTCTGTCCCCCTTCCCCCCTGGTGTCTCTGCTTCTGTCCCCCTTCCCCTACCCGACATTTGGCAGCAGCACCAAGAGATCCTAGCAGTCCTGTCTGCTGGTGGAGAGCAAAGGTAGCTATGACAGCACAGTGCCAAGCAGAAGATGTTTAAGGCATTGTCGCGGAGTCTCAGGGCCAGGTGAGGCGTTCGATTTTTAGTCCGAAGCAACGGGAGTTCAGCGGCCAGGGGGCGCAGTCAAGCCCCAACAGTTTGACATTGTGGCCGGAAGCTGTGCGATTCCATTTTCACCCGCACCAAGAGTTCCACAATGCATCGAGATGTATCGAGCCTTCGGACAACAAAGAACCCGCGAACTGAATGTGTCATTTCTTGCCGATAGAAACCGAGAAGTTCATCTGGCGAGTGTGAGTGTGAAAGCATATTTCGTCTGAGACCAGTGCTCCATGTCTTCACCTCATGTACTCCAGCCCTCCGTGGGTTAGGTAGCTGTCACCTACAGGATGTGGGATGATCCTTCCTCTTTCACAAGATACCTTGCTGCGGGGTACCTGTAGTCCCCGTCCGTCGCTCACCCACCCAGCCCACCCGCCCAGGGAGGGGGGACATGCGGGGTAAATCCTGTCCTAGTCTTCGAAGGCATGCTCAGCGAGTTGAGGGCTATCTTGGACGTCGATGTGGAGATGTTCAGGCTGGGAGCACTGTGCCAATGTGCTTGCTGCTGCGTCTGACTGCCCAATGCTGCATCATCTACGCCCTTGATCGAAAATAACTGAGTTCCTGGAGGTGCTAGTTCTCGTCCTGACTTTCCGAAGCCATTCTCATTGCATCTTGCTCGCAGGGTCGCTGAGAAGATTGAAGAAAGCAAGGCACGTGCCAAAGCCTTGATACAAGATCTGCAGTGTGGCCTGGTTGCTTTGGTGAACATCAGAACCGGAAGCCTAACCCAATGGCAAAGAAGCAAGACCCGTCCAAGGTGACATTGATGCGATGAGAGATGCACTCGCTCAGGCCTTTCCTGCAGCAGCTTTTCTTCTGCTATCCATCAAGTTGATTTTCCGAAGCCGCTGTGCAAGAGCTTGTTCTTGAATGACCGTGGTCGGGAACAGTCCCTGGTTGCCTGCAAGGGAGGAAGCACTTTGAGGGATGACCCAGCCCACGAAGCCCAAGCGAACCGAAGAGGTTCGGCAGAGGAAGATGCCGGCAAGCAACAGAACGGGTCGGGAAACGGCCACTTTTCCGAACTCGACCGATCTCGGCCAGTTAACCAGACACGGCTAGCTCAAGACTGCACGATGCAACATCACTTCAACGTCTCGACACTCGCTCGTGGTGCATACTTCCCTACAGCTAATGAGAAAGGTGCCGGCTCGATTTGCCCACATCGGTTGCTTGTAGTTGCTGCTTGCGGGCACTTCTGGAAACAGGCCCGGAGCCCGTCGCGGTCGCCGCAGAAGAAGGTTCAGTTTGAGGAGACGAAAAGCATATTGTCTACGTTCTGTGACGTATCCGGACTGCAACGTGCCATGGTGTGCATCGGAAGTACGGAAGTGGGAATCCTGTGCTATGCTCAGGGTGCAAACAAGTTGATCGACTACAGCTTGGCACGATTGGATGAGCATCTCGGACTCGGACGAGTTTAAGCCAGCATCAACGTGCTTGCGCAGCTTCCTTGGCTTGGCAGGAAATACATGCGTGGCCTTCTTATGGCGGACGAAGCGGAGGTGGAAGCCATAAGCAAGGCAAGCTTCTAGGGCCCGTACTGTGCAACCAGAAATATGATTGAAGCGACAAAAGTGCGAACAACCGTTGAAGTTGTGGCTTGCTTGAACGCTGTCCAACTTTATGTTGCGCAAGTGCAGAGTGCAATTCCAGCTTTGATACCCCGACAAGGAAGAATGCGATGAGTCTGCAGCTTCCGAAGATTTCGACGGAGGGGCGACTGAAGAGCTTGAAGAGTTGGGGGTCACAGGGAACAACGGCGTCCGACCCGCTGCGGGCAGTCTCAGTGATCAAGATCTGCGTTCATCGGCCAGGAGGGAGAAGGAGCAGGAGGAGCAGGACGAGGAGCAGGAGCGGGAGGAGCACGAAACACAGGAAGGGCTAGAGGAGCAGGAGCAGAAGGGGCAGCAGGACGAGGTGGAGGAGGCCAAGGAGGAGGTGGAGGAGGCCAAGGAGGAGGAGGAGGAGGAGGAGGAGTTCCTGGAGCTTTCAGCAGCTGTGCCACACACTGCCGTGCAGTTGGAGGAGGGTGCTGACAGCGTCCGGAACACAGGCAAGATTGAGCTGGAATTTCGTTTGCAAGGCGCGGAGGTGGAGGAAGCAGAGTTGCGCGGCTCTGCGTCTGGGATTCCAGGTTCGACTGAACAGTCGCAAGTACTGGGCCCGGGCTCCGCCATTCGGATTCCATCTCCAGAGAGGCAGGAGCGTGACGAGGCCGAAGAGGCGGAAGAGGCGGAAGAGGCGGAGCCGAGCACGGATGCCTCAGTCGACAAGCCCAAAGCGAAGCGGTCGAAGTCGCCGAAGAAGGCGAAACGCACGCCGCCCGTGCCGGTCAAGACGCGGGTCGAGCTTCTGCCACCAGTGAGGCTTCCTGCCCTGACACGCCGCAACCGCAAAAACACCGTCCCAAAGCTGAAGTCAGCCTCATTCATTTAATTCCCGAGAGCCGGCTGCGGAGTATGTCCAAAGAGTGTACACTGAGGATGATTTGGACTGGACCATGGAAGACCTGAACGCAGAAGAACTGAATCTGCTGACTTCCGTCATCGACGAGGACGAGCCGTCCAACAGCCTTCAAAGCGTCAGCCATGATCCAGCGAAAGAGCGCGACCCGGCAGTTAAGAGGCCGGCCCCTTGTTTGGAAGGCTTACCCAGCAGCAAGAAGCCAAGGCCTGTGGAAGTCCGTCTTTGGCTTGGATGACATGTCGCCTTCGCGCCGCGTTCAGCAAGCACTACCATTGCCGCAGCGACAACCGCTGCCGCAGCTGCTGCCTAAATCGGGGCCGGAGACTCTGCAGGACAGGGATGTCGAAAGGGCACTTTAAAAGTGGCGTCGTCTCATCGGCAGTGACCATCTTGTTGCAGGGCGTGTCGCCGAAGCAGAAGCCCTTGGCACGCTTGGTGGTTCCTCGGCAGAGATGGACACGCGCCTTCGCACTTGTGCGGTCTATTGATCGCCTTAACCTAGGATCATCCACAAACTCCACGGTCGCCGTGTCGAAAGGCTGGAGTTGAGCCATACTTCTGCAAACTTACAAAGCTCGGCTTGCGAGGCGAGGCTGCCTGACTAGGGTCCAGCGGCGGCACTCCTCTTCAAGAGGTGTGCGGTGCTCGAAAGCACATGCTGGGCCCATCCGCGGCCGGAATTCAGTTAAAGCTGCTTGGGACCCAGGAGCGAAGGCCACGGATTCCGATTTAGTTGCCGTGTCTGCAGACCCGGGGAGACGAGGGGCATTGGGTACAGAACAGTGCGCTCTGTCACCCGGCCTGCGGGACAAGCTCGAGAGGTGAACTCCTGAGGAGAAACTCGCCTCCGACTTCGACGGCGCAGACCGAGAATAGAAAGTCAAAAACATTGTCCGATCACTTAACTAGAGCTGATCTTTGAAGGCCAGCTTGAACCCAAATCCGCTCTAGACTCAAGAAAATGTGCAGGACACCTCAACAGAAGCCTTGCTCAGATCGCGGCACCAGGTACCGGTGACCGCTTCCAACTTCATTGCGTGACACCTAGCAGAGCGGGTGCTTGCAACCTCTGTGCTTCACAACTTGAGGACTTGGCACGGTCTGGATTTTTCAACGGACTCCATTTCCACCGAGTTATCCCTGACTTCATGGCCCAGCATGATGCCCAGAGGAAGTCCCGCAAACTTGCTCGGTGCCGGTGCGAATGTCGTACATCGAAAGCCCGAGGTTTGGCTGCCCCTTCTCCAGGGACTGACAGTTGCTGCCATACTCAGCCTGCCTTTTCAATACTGACATGTTCGGGCGCCGAGAGGATCCGCACTGCAAAAGCATGCGCCCCAGCCTCCACCAGCAAGAAAAAGCCCCTGGCCCTGGCCTGGCCCAATACAGGAGCTGGAAGTGGCGGTCCGCGTGACGGGACAGCCTTTGGTTGGAGTTGTCATTCTTGGGATGGCTTGCCGATGGCATGCCACGTTCGGGAGCTTCGATAAAGTAGCGATTGCCCGGCGTCAGCCGCACGAAGCTGGCAGGAGTTTCCCAAACCTCCAGACCGGGGCAGCTGAAAGGCGCTACAATGGCGGCAACATTCAGGACATGCTGAACGGAGCTCCCAACCCCAACGAAATGCACGTCAGCATTGGATGCCAGGATGAGCTGATCTCCAAAGACAGCAATTCACCCGGGACTCTTGCCATGGCAAACTGTGGCCAGCCGAACACAGGCCCATCCGCCATCACTCGTCGCCATGGTCACCCTAGCCGCAGCTCAGGCGGCTCTCAGTTCTTCATCAACGTGGCAGACAACAGCTTTCTCGACTGGTTCTCTCCAGGCGATGCAGTCGCGCTCTTGTGGCTTCTTTGGGCACAATGCTGGCTTTGGCTCTAGCGGTCTGCTTCCCGAGCTGGAGGTACATCAAAACATCCGGTGTTCGGGAAAATTACCAGCGGCTACGACGTGGTGGTGGCTTGCCGGCTTCATGTCGGGGTGCTGTGTGCAGAGGTTGTGGACCTAGGTGCGACTCTCCAAAGCAGAGACGCAAGATGACGTGCCGACCAAGCCGCAGCCTCAGATCGGCCAGCCGTCGGATCGCACCTTTGAAGTCTCGCAGGCCGATACAAATGCTGTCTGTGACCATTGTAGGCAAAACGCCATCGTAGACAGTGCTCGAGCGCTCCATCAATGTCATGGGGCGCTCCTGGCAGAAGGGCTGACATCGGCTGACATCATAAATCGCACAGTCATGTGCCAGAGCCTCGCTGCAAGAGATCCGGAATCGCGACCACACGGTGCGTGCACGAAATCTGGTGGCTCGAGCACCAAATGCAAGAAGCATTCTGCAAAGCCCACTTCGGCACTCCGTTGTCATTTCTTGTAAAATGTAGCGTTTGTTGGGTGCTCGACGCAGCAAGTCTCAAGGTAAACAGCTTTCGTTGCAACAGGGGCTGGTTGCTTCATGGCGGACGAAGGCCGAAGCTTCGACGACACCGTGGCCCTGGTGAGAGCATGCCACGTTGGCCACGAGGCAGCTGTGAAGCTACTGCTGGCTGAGGGCCTCTCACCCACCTCGGTAGATGCCGAGGGCAACTCTGCACTTTGCCTCGCAGCTGGGGCTGGCCATTCAGCAGTTGTAAGGATTCTTCTGGATGCTCGGGCATCTTTGGAAGAAACAGACGTGAATGACCAGACGCCCTTCTCCTTGGCAAGTATGCGCGGCCGAAAAGAGGTCATTCGAGAGCTTCTAGATGCAAGGGCGGACTTGGAATCTGTGAGCACGGACGGGCTTCGCCCGCTGATGCTGGCATCTCGTGCCAACCAACCTCAAGCCGTCAATATCCTACTGTCGGGCAATGCGGACGTGAATGCCGTTGATGCGGATGGAGCCACTGCACTGATCTGGGCTGCAAGCTCTGGGTGCACTCGAGTCCTGCCACTCCTGCTCGCGGCACGTGCTGATCTGGAAATCCGGGACATTGAGGGCGCCACTCCCCTGGCCCGAGCCTCAGCCGAGCCTCAGAGCCCAGGGCTGCGGGGGGGAGGGTTATGGCAGTCGCAGCATCCCCTCAGTCGTCTCCCGGCGTGCAAGGTGTGGGCAGCTTCCGAAGGTGCTCCAGCTTTTTTTTGAAACCCTTTTGAGAATTGCGGGTACTGTAGCTTCATTTCTTCCCTTGTCGAGGTCAGGAGAGAGTTCTGGAGCTGCTGCTGCAGGCTAGGACCGGACCGGAACTTCGAACTTCTGAGCTTTGGAGAGGTTTCGGCTTTCTTGCCAGGCCCGGGCCCAGCCAGATGCCGCAGACAACGCGGGGCAGCGGGCTCAAGGCAACTTCTTTACGGTCCCTGCTGTGCCTTCTGGGCAGGCGAACACCCCTCAGCTGGGCTGCAGGCCGACAACCGCTCGCCCAAAGTCTCAGTTTGGGATACTCCGGAGACTTTCTCCAGGCCGTGGGGAGGAGATCGCTACGAAGGCGCCTCGAGATCCGAGACGAGTGGACGAGTATTCAGATGCAGATTTACTGCGAAGCTAGCCAAGATTATCCATGAGGGGCTAGGTAGATGTGTCACGAAAGCAATTGTTTCTGCATGTTAGTCTCGTACCCATCATCCTCAGCTTGATGGAAGGCGCTGCTTGTAGCAGGAGTCGAGAACTTGGCCGACTTTGTAGTTCGTGGTAGTTACTGGTACCGGATTCGGACCGAATCTGTTCCCATCATCCTCCGAGTGAAGAACCGTTTCGCTGCACTCAGGCTGACCCCGGGAAGAAAGACGATGCGGGCCTGTCTGCTCAAGAATGGGCAGCAGCCGAAGGATGTGAGGATGCCTTCCTCAGGACAACGCTGCATTCTTAGCCTTCCCTCTTTGGCTTCACCTTGTTTTGCATGCATCGTTTGCACAGGACTCTGGCAGCTTTGAACTAGCTTGCATGAAGCTTTGACTCGGAGAGCACGACGCGGCAAAAAACTTGCCCCGTGGAAGTTCTGGCTTCCACTCAACCTTGACAACCTGTCGAAACTACCATGCTGATGCCATTTGGCACTTGTTGTGAAGAGCAAATTAAATGACAGCAGGCTGAATGGCATGCATCCCAAGCCCAACTTTTAAGCTAGGCCATCGTGGAAAGCCTTGATGCCTCGACAGAACAGACTGACTCTAACGAGCTTTTCGATGCGATGTTGCCATGTCCGGCTTCGGGATTCCTGGATTGCTGGAGCAGTCCGGAGCTTTGTTCGTGCAGTTCCGAGTGGACATGCAAGCTTTCTTGGCACGCACAAGGTGGAAGTCAAGCTGGCTCGACCCAGCCCTGGACTACATCGAAGGCCGCGGCGATCTTGAGCAGCACGTAGAGGCAAGTCGCAAGCCTGCGCCAGGAAGCAAGCTGAAAACAGACTCGCACCTCAACCAGGCAGGAGTTGCAAGATCGGGCATAACAAGTGGTGGTGAGAGGTCTGTTCATGCAGCAGGCCAGCAATGAGTATTTCGAGGAGGAGATCAAGGCAGTGTTGCCCACTTGATTTCGATGTCAGCCGTAGGTGTGCCGGCTGGCAGGCTTCAACAAGAAACTTTGATCCGAGCTGCTTGCTTGGCTCTGGCACCTTCGGTAGTGCACGGGCCCTCGTCCATCCTCGTCCTAATAAGTGTTTCGGACACAGCTAGCTAGATGAATGCAGTCGGTCGTTGCACCAGGTGTACCGTGGAACAATGAAGGACGGGACAGAGGTCGCCATTAAGGCAGGAGCATAGGCGTGTAGCGTTCCCTGTTCAGCGACCGAGTTCGCGATCAAAGGTCTTGCAAGTGCCAGAGGAGGCAGGCTTTGAGGAAGAGATAAAGGCCTCCTCCTTGTTTCGAGCCCTCTACTTCTCCAGCCTATGTTTGAGATATTTATTCATGAAAGCTGGCAGGTTCTCTCCAGATTCCGGCATCCCAACCTCGTGATCCTCATGGGTTTCGCTCGACATGCCGCAACGTCGCCCCTCACTGTTTGTGTGTCTCGAGCGCTGGTGCCAACAGCTTCCGGTGTATCTGTTGGCTCAAGGACACTAGCATGCTGCATGCTTTCTTGTGTTTATTTCTTTGAGCATGCCCGAAATGGGTGCTGCAGTGGCCTCGGAGGCTGCAGCGCCTGCGGCGACAGGGAGCACAGCTGCTGCATCCAGCTCCCAGAGAGAAAGGTCAGATGTGGCAGACTTGCAGAAGCAGCTCCTGCAGGAGCGATCGCCTGGACTTCCGAGAAACAACTCTTGGAGTGGCACGGAGGACCGTGAGAGGATGAGCCCAGAGTTAGCTGCCTCCCGCAGACTGCGAGAGCCGGGAGGATTCCGGCGAGGGTTTCTGCAAGCGCAAGCCATAAATCAGGGCCTGCAAGCGGAGGATCTGCCCCAAACGTGGACTCAGCGATTGGTTGACACACTGGCTGCAACCAGCTTCCAGGTTGAAAGCCATGTTTACGGGCTGAATCTCAGTGATGACGAAGATGCTCAGCCTATTAGGCATGGCGCAAGCAATCTGAGCATCGCCTTTTTGATCTTCAAGGGCAACTGCGGCTGTGCCATCCTCTACATGCCTCGTGGCTGGATGCATGGAGGCGGGGGGGGGGGGCGGGGGGCCGGGTGGGGGTGCGGACACACGGTAGTCACCAGCAAAAAACATAGCAACAGTAGATCATCAGCGTGGTTTGAATCTTGCATCCAGAGGTCTTATACTTGCTTCCATCGTCGTGCCATTGATCGGCTTCGCTTCAATCTGGTGTGCGCTCTTGCTGCTCAAGGTTCGCCTAACGACAGAGAGTCATGCAGGTTACGGTGACTTGATGAACAATGCGCTCGGGCCACGTGGCCGTGCTGCTTCCAACCTCTTCATCGTCCTCTTGCAGCTGGGAATCTGCTGCACCTACTTCATCGTCGCCTCGAAGCTTCTGCAGACCACACTTCTGCCGAAGGCGTCCTTGGAGCTCCTGATTGTCGGCATGACCGTCCTTATGGTGCCCTTGGTTGCCGTGCGAAAGGTGGCCTCCCTTTGGCCCCTAAGCTTGGCAGGGACGGCGCTGGTGATTTTGGGGCTCCTCATCGTTGGGACGCTGGAGGTGCAGGCAGTGGTGGAAGAGTCCCCGGAGCTCACGCTGATGAATTGGAGCCAGTTGCTCGTCTGTGTTGGCCAGGCTTGCTTCATGTTCGAGGGCATCGGCCTTATCTTGCCAACTTACGACGCCAGCAAGAAGCCCGAAGATTTCTCGTGGATCTATGCCGCATGACTGGAAAAGAAAGCGCTGTCAGCTGTTCGTAGGTGAGGCATCCTCATGCGCAGGGCTTTTGTGCTGTCCTGTACTCATGCTGCGAATTCAGGTCCTGGTCCAAACTGGAACACTTGCGGTCGTTTGCGCCATTGGAGTGCTTGGTTACATGGCATTTGGCAGTGATGTTTCGAATCTCATCCTGCTGAACTTCCCGCAGTCTATTGCAGTATTTCTTGTCCGCTTTGCATTTATGCTGCAAGTTTGGTGCTCCTTTCCGCTGCAGTTCCTGCCAGCAACTCGTCTATTGGAAACCTTTTTCTTTACACCTGTATCTGATCCTCCATTGATGCGCAAAGCTGCGAAATCCGCTTTTCGGGCACTTGTCGTGGTGCTCCTTGCCGGAGTGGCTGTTCTGGGGGCGAGCAAGCTGGATAACTTCGTGAGCCTCATTGGCGCTCTTTGCGGTGTGCCGCTGGCTTTTGTTTTTCCTGCAATTGCCCACTATATCCTTGTGAAGGAGTGTCTTTGGTCGGACGTCTTGCTGGTTGTTTTTGGAATTGCACTGACCGTCGTGGTGACTGGCGTCAATGTCGCTGCTTTCTTCTAGGCCGAGCAGTGTGGTCCAAGGCGCTCGAGGCTTTCAGGTCAAGCACCCTTTAAAACAAGGGAACAGGATGCTGAAGGCAGCCTTCTTGTCCACGCTACTACGCTCAGTTTCCATATATCCGTTTCATGTACATAGATGACATAGATCCGGCAGCTGGATGTCGCACTGAAAAGCTGCTGCACCCCTGCGAAAGCACTCAGAACTGCCTGAATTTCCAGGTCTGATCCGGGCTACAGGAACATGCAAGGGTAAGCCGGGAGGTTTGCAAGACAGAGCACCGTAAAGTTGGAAGCACGCTGGGAGGAGTATTGATGCAAGCATTTCGGAAGAAAGCGCACTACACACTCTTAATATGTTAGTTATTCATCTCACTTGAGTTTGGTGCTGCCGACATGAGCGATACGCTGCCAAGCCAATTTCTGCAGCATTTGCGTCAGAACCCGCAAATTCTAGATGCTCGTCTGCAAAGAAGACTCTCATAAAGTCTTTGAGGGATGACCACCTCTTCGCGCGGAACTTTCAGTTGACTAGCGAGCTCCAGCCTGTGAAATAAGGAGTCAATTCGCGACTTCCAGGCCCGTTTGTCCTTGTCCGTGTGTGCTTTAAATCATGGGAGGCACATAAAGATGTCGCGAAAGACTGGGTCACTTTGGACTTAAAAGAGAAGTGCTTCTATGTCCGGGCTCATGCAGGTCAAATATCGTGCGTGCTTCGTGCAGCCGCGCACGTCGGATGACTACACGTTGGAACAAAGAATGGCATATATGGAATTTGAGACTTGACATAAAGGACATGATTTGCACTGTTCCGATCACAAGCCTCTGACTTCGCACCACATAGTCAAGCTGTTACATATCCCAGGCCAAGCTGATAGCAACTCGGCGTGCATCGTGGTGTGAAGCTCGCTCTCTCTCTCTCTCTCGCGCTCGCTCTCTCTCTCTCTCTCTCTCTCTCTCTCTCTTGTCACAGCACAGCCCGCGAACGCGCAAGCCGATCTAAGGACCTGCACATGTCACGCTTCTTCTCACTTTATGGGGGTTCTGAGGACAGCACTTGCTACTCCATGTTGTGGGATTGCGGCCATACGTCTTGACAGGAAGATTTCCTGGCTGGCTTGGAGTGGATGAGGGCCAACCAGGAGATGTCTTGCAGGCGGCAGGTAGACCCGGCTAAGCGAATGATGGAACCCTCAGCAAGGACTCGAACTGGCACGCGTACCAGATGTGCATGCAGCAGATTGAGTTTGAGTCCTTCACTCAAATGCTGCGCCGAACCCTGAGCAAAAGCACTCGCTGTCTCGGCGTCGGAGAGTCGTAGGCTGGCGCTTAAGCTTCCCTGGGCGCACCGCAGCCATGTCAGCTTTGAGCTAATCGCGTTGATCGGGCCATGGTTGTGAAATTTGAAGATCCGGACAACTTCTTGAATCCCATTATTCCAGGTGGCTTCCCAGATCCGTCAATTTGCAGGGTTGGCGATGTCTACTACATCTGCAACTCTTCTTTCGAATACTTCCCGGGTCTGCCGATCCACGAGAGCACGGACTTGGTAAACTGGACATGGGTGGGCTATGGTCTACACAGGAAAGAGCAGGTGAGTTCAGCAGTAAACCTCGTTGACGTGAAGTCTGAGGATGGCATTCAAGCCCCATCTCTCCGATACAAGGATGGAACATTCTACATTATCACCACCTGCGTGTATCGTCCACCAGGAACTGACGAGGGAACCTGCACGAACTTCATCATCACGGCATCGGACATTCGTGGTCCCTGGTCAGATCCCCATGTCATCGAAGGCGCCCCAGGCATAGATCCGGACATCTTCTTCGATGATGATGGCAAAGCCTGGTATGTGGGGACTGCGGCACCCGACAAGCCGAATTATCCAGGCGAAGGTGCCCAGGCCGCAATGGGACAGACATGTTGCAGACTGCTTGTTTCAGAACACCGAAAGACATCGAAGCAGTTACCAAGGAGAGCTCTACTGCCACGCGTGATGCTCAGTTTCTGGAAGTGCCCATCTGCTTTCTCCGCCTATGCTTTCTGCCTTGCATTGCTGATGCGACAGTTCAGGAGCTAGACTTGGGGGCCTTCAAATTGGTCGGAGAGCGGCACCACTTGTGGCGGGGAGCCCTCCATGGTGGTGTTTTCGTGGAGGGGCCGCACATGTACAAGCACGAAGGCTCTTACTACCTAATGGCGGCTGAAGGCGGCACCGGCGTGAATCATGCGGAGGTCATTGCTATCAGTTTCTTGTCTATGCATTGGTTTGTTGCCGTGTGTTTTCTTTGCATTCGGTACCCCGCCGTGCCAAGCCAAGGTGACAAGGTCACCGGCCCCTTCTATCCAAACGACCGGAACCCGATCTTGACCTCGCGCCACCTCTCTTATGATAACTGGGTCCATAGCACAGGACACGGTGATCTGTTCCAGCTACCAGACGGGCGATGGTTCATGGTGTGTTTGGGAGTACGAGCAGAGGAGGGCAAACAGGGCATGAAGCGCTCAAACATGGGCCGGGAGACACACCTGGTACCGGTTCGCTGGGAGCGAGAGCCAATGGAGTGGCACTCTTTAGGGCCTGTCGGGGAGAGGCTGTGGCCTGTTTGTGCACCGGATACCGGCCGTGTCGAGCGTCAATCGGTTCTTCCTTTAAAATCGATGCAGCTGCATGCTTGCAACACCTTTCGTGATACATTCGAATCGCCATCTCTGCACCCAGAATGGAACTTTCGGCGTGTTCCGAAAGAAGGAATGTATGTCCTCAGACCTGGGAGTTTGCGGCTGAATGCCCAGCCAGAGGTGATTGAGGAGCGTGCGTCTTGTAGCTTAATGGGGATACGACAGCGGCAAAGTGAGTTTACCTTCCTCACTAAGATGACCTTCAAGCCAGTCACAGATGGTGTGGAAGCTGGCACAAGTGTTTTTCAGAAGGATGACAACTACGTCAACTTCGTCGTTCAGCTCGTGGGAGGAAAGCACAGGGTGTGCGTCACCCTTAGGGAGCGAGGAAAGGAAGAGCGTGCTCTTTGTGGCGATGATCTTGCCGCTTACCAGGGCGACATCACATTCAGGATCGAATCCTGCAACCACACATACAGTTTTAGCTACTCCCTGGATGATGGGGCCAGCTTTACTTCGTGCGCGGAGATGGCTGCAGATCTTTTGCTGAGCTACGGGTACACTGGCAGCTACCTTGGGCTCTACAGCACCAGCAAAGGAAAGCCTTCCGAAGACTATGCTGAGTATGCTTTTGTTCAGCACACCGCTTCGCTGCGTTTGCCAGCACGCGGTGGGTAATTCAACGCATGCTCCCGCCTGATTCACAGGACTTTTAAATGCCAGACATCTTGAAAGCAAAGAGGTTGCCCTGTTACATGCAGACATGATTACCCTCAGTCCGACGCTGTCCGAGGAGCGGACGTCTGTCTCTGCTGTGGAAAGCCGTTTACATCGCCGGGAACTCAGAGTCCAAGGAGGGTCCTTGAGGGCCAGCAGGAAGCTGATGCTCTGGGCAGGCCGGGCCATCCGGGCTATGCGGGACCTTGCCAGCCATTGGCATCCCAAAACTCATACAGCAGCCCATACATGCCTCCTCCTGCGGGGGATATCGAGCTTCCTCCGCCTCCGCCGGCCGAAGTTTACCCACCGTCCCCAGCTCAGTGAATGCAGACCGCCTTCCCTCAACACTCCATTGCTTTTGCATCAGGTGACCTCTCATAGCAGCTTCAGTGAAATTGCAAACTGTGACTTAGCTGAATCGCACTTGCCTTCGCGACTGCGCTTGAAGAGGCGCTGGTGGCCCCAGCGAACTCAACAAGGTAGTTCTGTATAGCTGGTTCTGCGTGTTCGGCTGGGGCGAACTAGTTTTCTTTCTCGGTGCCCTGCGCCAAGTTACACACAGTTTCACTACCTTCTGGCAGCGGGGTGTAGAGATGTTACCGCTAACGAGTCATAGACAACGTCTGCTTACCGGGCTGCCCAATGCATGCACATATCTGCCGTTAGGGTTACGGAAGGGCGTTCAGAAGGCGAGCTGGGGCTGCATGCTGCTTCGCCAATCGGCGTGAAGCCGCTTTTTGCAATAGTTTCAAAAGCATGCGGGTCCTCCCGTGTACGCTTGGGAGACTGTCTTCGCAGGCTCAGCCCGGCCGGTAGCACTTCTTGTGAAGAAGAGCTGCTATTTTCCAATGCCCACGGCTAATAGCCGTGCAGAGGCATTTGTGTCTGATCCCAGAATCCCAGTCGCTCCATGCTGGCATCTCGCCGCCTGGACTCTTGAGGGGCCTTGCGCAACTCGTGAGTAAAGGGGCTTCATGCAAAGCACATTTTCGTCTTCCCAGCCGGATACTCGTAGCACCTCTCCAGCATCTTGCCATTGCGAGAACATGGCAGGGGATGGAGAAGTCTCATCTACGAATTCCTGGCTGGCGGCGATGCTCGGCGCTTAGCACAGCCACCGCTTGCATTGACACTGCGGAATGCATCCCGGACGACTTGTCAGGATTTTGCATTCGTTTGTTTGCAATCCGTTCAACTTCCGTTTGTGCTTTGTGTTTCAACCGGTGCTTGCCAGCTGCTGTGCGAGCAAAAGGTCACGCGGCGGATACAGAGAAGCAGGAATCACAACGAGCCGCCAAGCGTGGCCTGATTTGACATTTCTTGCTGCAGGGCTTGATTGCAAAGAGTTCTACAGTAGGCGTTTACGGCAGTTGGAAGACATGCGCAAACATGCACTCATGTCGTATAGGTGCAGCTGTGTAGGAGGGGTAGAACTCCGAGTCTCCGATGCCTGCTCCCTGTCCCAACCCCAACACCCACACGATAGGCAGGACAACCTGCGCTGCCAGGTTCGAGTGGAGAGCACGGCTGAGTGCTTGTATGGATGCAGCATGCGGCCTGTCTCATCTGCACAACATGACCCCGCGGGTGTCTGCCTGAGGCATTCTTAGGAGCCGGTAGACTCTGGTAGAGCTCCTGAGCCTCAAGGCTTTCCATCGCGATATCAAGGGCCCCAACATCCTCCTCGACAAGAACGGTCCGCTCCCGAGCTCAAAGTCGCCAGTGCGACGTCGCGGCGGGCTCTGGGCATTCCCTGATTGTTCCGCAGGAACTGCCAAGATGGCCGACTTCGGGCTCTCCTGTGTGCAGTCCTCAGAGCAAAGGACACACAAAGGACAGCATGCTGGGACGATTGGACACGTGACGGACGTGACAGGTGTCCGCCGGCGCCCAGCACAAAGTGCAACAGGCTCTCCTTCCGCTTCCATCCACCAGCTCCAGTGGCGGATCCGTCCTTCTCTACTTTCTTTGAGTGCATGCAGTGCAGGCCAGTGGCACCGTTGGCTATGCATGTCCAGAGCCCGCCTGGCATATTGTGCCGTTTTGTGACAGGCGACGACTGTTTAGCACGCAATATTCAGGTATATCCGGACCGGCATCATCACGGAAGGGAGCGAGGTCCTGCAGAATCAGTTGGCAGGGTGTGCAAAAGTGGAAGCATCAGGTGCACAGCTTCGGGATGGTAGTTCTGGAGGTGCTCACTGGGGCCCCGTCGGGTTCCAAGAGCCTCCAAAGCCCGCGAGTGCCCTTTGGCCCCGTTCGGCCCGAGGCCGGCTGTGGCCAAGCCAAACACTCCGGGAGAGCCCGAGCCTCGAAGCTCAAAGCGAAGTTTTTTTTTGGGGGGGGAAAGTTGCGCATCGCTGCTCCATTCCGCAGGTTGAGCCGGGCTCTAAGTGACAGCTGTAGTTCCAGGTTCCGCTAGCACCATTGCACCATGCCCATTCCGTGCGGCAGATGCCAAGTCATCCAAGATGTGGCAAACGGCTGGGAGGGCCTTTGCTTGGGATTGCAGTTGCAGAGTAGCTCAATTACTCAGGGCGACTGCCGAAGGATTTGCTGTGATGATGCCGACTGTGAAGTGTGGCAATGGGGCAACACACGAGAAAACTCCGGCGAACAGCTGGGGAAGTGCTACACTGGCCGTGGCCTGGAATGCCAAAGCGAGCGATTTGATGACCTGCTCGTCCTTGCTGGCCAACGCATTTCACACGGGACCGTGTCAGAGACCATCCTCTTGGAAAAGGGACGCTGGTGCCGTGGGATTGGCATGAAGCAGGCCGACATCAGAGCGAAGAGCCCAATCGGCACCTACAAGACAGAAGTCCTGCAGTGCCGGGATGTCTGCTATGCAGATTCTGCGTGTTCAATTTGGGAGCACAGCACGCGGGATGGATGCTGGTATGGCTACTCAGACGAGTGCTCTAGGTCCTTTCCCGAGGCTGCTACAATGGTGGCGGGAGAGCGAGTAGCTCGTGCATGTGGGCCAGGAGTGCAGACAGAGGAAGCAACTGACTATGTCAAGGTCTTCGGAATCATCGGGTTCGTGGCATTTCTGCTGTTCTGCTTCGGAGTGTTGATCGTTGGCTGTGGGGCTCTTACTGGTTCTGCTGATGCTTACAAGAGAAGCTTGTCTAGAGCACAGACAGAGGACTTAGATCGGCTTGCTGAGCATCCCGGAACAGTCATTGATGCCCAGCCAATGCCTTCACGAACCGGAGCCCGTGGGCACAGGGGCCCGCTGTAGACCTGGGTCGCACTAGGGCCTCTAGGACCTAGACCTAGTACTAGGGAGCTCGTTACTGACAAGGCCGGAACGAGGAAGGGCCTGCTCGGGCATGTGTCACCGGCTGGAGTGCCTGAACTTGGCGCACGCCTTCTAGGATCTCTTGCAGCGGGACAAGACGAAAATGCGTTCCGCCGTTTCGCTTCTGACGTTCTGAGAGCCCACGGTGAAAGAATCACCCCCCCCTTTGTCAAGAAAAGGGTTGGTGTGGGGTCCAGAACCTACAGCGATAAACGGGAAGTTTCAATGAAGCGCTAGCTAGGGAGAGGCATGCGAATCTGGTGAAGATTTGGAGAAGCATGAATTTTCCTCCCAGATGCAAGGACCTGAACTTGCGACGAAATACCTTCACGATATAGCTGCATCTAGCAAGTTCCTGCGGCAGGAATCGGTTCACAGGGAACTCTGCATTCTGCGCCATGTCTCTGCAGCTGCATTTCGGCAACGTGTTTCCGGGCCTCTTAAGCACGCACTCGTCCTGCCCCTTGCCAATCTGTGGAATCGGGCTTGCTTCCCGCAGAACATGGAGAATTTCACAGCAAGCTACCCAGTCAAGAGGTGTAACTGTGCCGTGCACTTGCAGTGGTAGCAACGTTTCGTTAAAGATTTCCTGGCAGCTGCACTGGGTCTTAGCGATTCAGCCTGCAGATCCTGCCACCTGAAATTGCTTCGTACCTGGTGAGAGGCGAGACGCCATCGTGGTCTGCGGTGATTTTTTTTTGTCGTCTCTGTGTTGTTTACGACGATGATTTCGATCGAGAAGCTGACGGCAAATGCTAAAGGCCGCGGCTCGGTAGCCGCTGCTGTAGCCCCACTTGCCGACCTGCCAGCACGCGGGAAGACCATGTTTGAATCTCATGTGTCTGGATGGCCGGTGTAGGAAAATGCTAGCAGAGGGAAAACTGCAAGCTGCCAGCAGCCTTGTTATGCTTAGGGGCAATGATGTTGCTGGCTCTTGGGTTGGCCATGCTGGCTGTAGGTTCAGCTATCTGGTGGACCACATTCGTGGCAGCAAGACCAAGGCCGTCCGTATTCTTTGCATTCTGCTGGCTGTTTGCGAGCCTCGACTGGGTTTCTGGTGATATTTCGATGTTATCGAAACAAGAAGATTTTACCTGGTGTTCACACATCGGGCGGGGCGGTGGGGGCAGATCGGAGGCTGAGGGCGAGAGAGGTGTCTCGTTTTGCTGTGCAGCCAGAGGTTGAAGATGTGACACTATTTTGAGTTCGAGACAACTTAGATGCACGAAGTGACGAATGGGGAAGTATCCGTTGGAAGACTTGGATGCCGGGAGACACACGGCTGTGTTCGATTGTATCCTATTGGCCTATTGGCGCATCGAGAACGGCAGAACATGAAGGTATTGCACGCAACACAGTTCAACCTCTCAACATGAGCAGGTAGGGCAAGATACCGTATGTCTAAGTTGCTCCTACAACGAAATTCAGGCAATACATTCCAGAAGCCAGAGCCTGCAGTCCAAGGAATGCTTGCCACCATCTAAGACGTATTCGTAGCAAGGCGCTGTAAGAGGCATTCATTGTCTAACGCCAGGGCAGCCAGGATGAACCAGCACTTTCTCGAAGAAAGAATGAGCAGATTCTGACTTGATCTTCGTGCAACACAACTTCGCCCGCATACTGCCAGGACAGGGCAAGTCGTGCTCTAAGCATGGCCAATACCTTGAGATGCGATCCTCACCGGCACAGGTGTCGCAAATGCTGGATCCGACCGGCAACTTCCCACAGTCTGTTTCACAGGCAATGACGGATGTGAGAGCCTCGTCGCAGAGCTCTGGGAGAGTGCCAGAGAGAGATTGTGTTGAAGAGAGGTCCCTTTCACACCTAGTTGTTCAGCTCCCCCTGTATGAATTGAAAGCCTAGCACGTGCCGACCTCTAGAGCTGCCTGCAAACCTACACGACATTCGTGGAACCGCCAGAAGCCACGAAGACCACCAACCAAAGGGCGAGCCTGCGCATGGAGGATCAGGGAGTCTTGCCCCTGGGCCCTGCAAGAGAGAGAGAGAGAGGCCCCTCGTAGCCTTGAGACCCCAAATTTGTGCATCAGTTTCGACCTTGGCCTGTTTCATGTACAAGCTGTTGTTTCCTGTTTCAGAGCTGGCGGGGCTCGGTGTGAAACTTCCCCACTAGGAGTCGCCAAACTTCAATATTTCTCAGGCTGCTCACTACGAACAACATACAGACATGTCATCTCTCTGACCCGCTTAACGAGCAGCCCCATCCCCGCTTGTGTGTACGAGGGCACGCTGCAAGTGAACGAGCGAAGAAACGAACGGACGCAATTAGCAACAGACCCACGTTTGGCACGGATGTGCACTGGGGGAGGACGCTTATAGGGCTGGTAGCAAGCACCCTGGCGTCATTTGTACCTGCTACTACAAGTCCCACGTCCCTACCCAATCCCCCTTGCTCGTGAAGTTCAGGGTTGGGCGGATGAGATAACGGCCAGCAGCTCCTGGTTGTTCCCGCACAGGGGAATGGAGAAAAAGGAAAGGCGATGGGGAGAGACGAGACAGCTACAAGTAAAAGCTGTAGGACGAAAGAGACTGAGCCGATCTGAGGTGGCCTTCCGCTGCATCCAGCCGCGTGGTTCCAAGACGCCTTCTGGCCTTTTCTCGTTGATCCAGGTGTCAGAAAGACGTAGCCTCCGCAGGGTTCCAGCGGAGCGGCCGCTCTTCAAGCTTCTGGTGGAGGAACTGAGGGAACTGCACTTGGCACACCCGCCTTGCTCTTCTGCTTGTGTCGGGACATGCAGCATGTACCGTGTAAGGCCATGCCGATTTCATGTTGCTCCTTTAGATGTTTTTGCCGCGCCGCAGCTTTCCTGGCCCAAGATCCTTTGCAAGGTGCTTGGACGAGGGGCATGACGAAGCCTGCATGTGATTTGGCGCCGACGGCACACAAAGCCGAGCTGCTCAGGCTCATCCTCAAGCGCCGCACCTGGCTTGCAGGTCAGCATGGAGGATGAAAGGGCAGAGGTGCGGGATGATGCATGTTTGCGCTAAATCCGAGGCAAGCGGCAAGCTCCAGCGACTGTCGACCGAGCGACTTTGGATGCAGAAACGACCGATGTTGGTAGGTGATGATGTGTAGCAGTGTAGCTCGTAGTGTCTGCCGGTATGAGTACGACAAAAAGTTTCAGAAATGGTCTCGGTTTCTGCCATGGATGGTGAGAAGCTTCGCTCGCTGTGACAGGAAGCCTTGCGGGCCGTCGATCTCCTGCGAGCATCTGGGTTGCTGCAGTCACGAAAAGAATTCACAATAGTGCTTAGCTCGCTAACACGAATGGCGTTGTGGCAGAAGGCGAGCAACGTCTTTCAACTGATGAGAGGCATGCGAGTAGAGGCCGACGCAGCGGCGCGGCATGCAGCACTCTCCGAGAGCCCATGGCAGCTGACGCAGTCCTTGCTGAAGATCGAGTCTGATGCAAAGGACATCAACGACGCAGCCACCCTTCAAGCACGAGCCTGTGCTTCCGTACATCTCTGGTCAGAAGCCTGTGCTGTCCTGGAAGAGTTGGCGAGATCAAGACTGCAGCCAGCCATCCAAGTGCACACGGCGGTCGTTGGAGCTTTCTCGGCTTGCGCCTCATGGCGGCTTGCTTGCCAGCATGTGGAAGACATGTCGTCGATTGGTGCAGATCCTCAATTCTATACTACTGCTGCCGGAACTTGCTCCAAATCTGCGCAGTGGCTTCACACGTTGCACCTCCTGCGCAAAGCTTCGGTCGGGCATGACATCGCAATTTTCGGGGTGCTGCTCTATGCCCTGGCAAAGGGACAGCAGCTGGAAAGCTTGCTAAGTGTCCTCAAAGATCTGGAGATTTCAAAACTTCGGCTCAATTCCGCTCTGGTGAGTGCGGCACTTGGTGCTTTTGGCGCTTCAGCGCTGCCCGGCTCAGGTGCCCGCAGAGCCCCTGAGCCCTCCGGCCCCCTTAAGGAGTTTCGGTGCTTTCCGGCCGTTTTTCTTGCATGAGTACCTCCCAGCAGGCGGACGTCGCACTTGGCAGCTTGGGCTTCACCTCATGGCTCGGCTTCGGAAAGTTGGCGACCGCACGGGCTCCGGCAAAGACTTCGCAGGAGCTGGGCCGTGCCAGTTCCTTTGACAGTTTCGGAAAGAAGAGGTATCCGTGCATAGCTTACGGAGTCTTAGAGTCTCTCCACCACAGATTGGTGGGAAGTTCTTCTGCAAAGCTCGAATTCGAAAGACCGGCATGAACCACTGACGAAGTTCGTGGAGTCGTGGATCCTTTTCTTCGGAGTGTTGCTGGGCCACCACTCGACTCCAGGACCTGACCTGATGGCCTTCAACAGTCTGCTGCCGGCTTTAGATCGCGGTGGCCAGTGGGAGCTCGCCGTCCTTTACGGCCTGAGCTCTTCCTTTGGAGTGCTGCAGGCGTTTCCTGTCAGGCAAAAGGACATAAGATGATTGGAGTTAGTGGACAGTTAGTGACAGTTAGTGAGGGTAAGCGAGCCTGATTGGATCGAATCGGCACTGGACCTCAAACGACTTCCAAGGAGCCTGAGACCAGATGTTGTAACCTGGACATCTGCCATCTCTTCTTGCAGGAGTGTCTCAGGCTGGCAGCGAATGGCAGCCGGACCGCACTGAACTTAAGAACACGTTTCAATGTTGTGATCGCGCAAATCAAGGCGCACATGCTCCAGGCTATGGAGAGACGGGGCATCAACCATGGCCCTGAAGCACCGGGCGCTGTCCTGAATGCGTGTTCAACAGCTGGTGTATGGGACTGGGCCACTTAGCTGAATGACGGCAGGGAAGAATGTATCTTGGCGGCCATTTTGTGTTCTGATCGGTAATTTATCTTTGTCTATGCCTGGGTTTCTACTTGCTCTTCGCGCGCTACCTTCAAGCCTGTGTCGCCAAGCCGGGTTTGCGGGGTGTTCTGACGGAATGAGCTCAGACTATCCAGGCTGCCCAAGCACGGCTTATTGAATGCCTTGCTGAAGCGTGGGGTGAGGCAAGACGTCAGTTTATTGGTTTAGTTTCCGGGAAGCTGCCGTGCTCTGTGCGCTGAAGCAACCCTGCAATGCCGAGCTCGCAAGTGATGGTCATCATAAATTCGGTGCAGCTTGACCGGACCTGTGCGACGTCGTACTACTGCCGCAGTATGGTCATGATTTCCTGCAGTCTCGAGCCCATGGCACTCCCACCGCATTCAAAGCTGCGCATGACACCCTTGACTTGTTGAGTGTCGTTCGCTCTGCGTGAGAATAGGCTTTTGCAAATCGAATCCCAGAGATCTTACTTTCCTTCCTTAGGCGATGCGCTTTTACCATGGCTTACGGTCCTATCGAGCGCCGGCCTTGGCATCTGTGCTCGGGTGATAATTCGTGTTTTGCACAAAGGGCAAGCTTTGTAGCTGAGGATCGTGCCACCCCTGTACCCAGTCTCCGATGGAGTCTAACCTGTGCATCGGCCATCAGCGCATGCGAATTTGATTTTCGGTGGAGCCATGCGCTTTGCCTTCACTGGCTCGCAGCTTCGGAGGGGTCTGTATCGACAGAAACCCTCAACGCTTTGACCGACTGCTTGGGCAAGTGCGCGTGCTGGTTGCGGGCGCAGCTGGCACTGTTTGACATGCAGCTGCAGTCATGCCGTCCAGGACGGGACTTGTGAACCTGGCGAAGCGCGCTTGTTTCAGACAGAACAGTCTCGTCACCCGACACCCGGTGATGCACATGAGGAGAACTGGCACTGTCCGCCGCTGCACGCGCCTGTGGCAGTCGTGGCCAGAGGCAATGGACTATGGCCACTTCGTTTTTGCTGCAGTTCCGGCATTCCTCCATTGATCCCGACACTGAGCTCGGATAGTGGGGACCTGTCGTGTCGCTGTCGCCTCGCTTCATCTAAGGAAGCATCGGTGCTGTGCGCAGCAGTGACAGCCTGTGAGGCTTCAGGCTCCTTGGTTTCAGTGCTGTTTCAGTGCGATGCAACAGCCGATAGTAGCGCACGTTCATGTGACGATGCAGGCAAAGCTGGTTTTTTCCCGCTTCTGTCCTTGCAGCCTGTCCCGCAAGAGTGCAGCAGAGTCTGTTGACGCGTCCTGGATATGTTGAAGCGACGTCACTTCCGTCCATGAGTTTGAGAGAACTCGCACTGCATGCAGCTTGGAATATAGACAGGACTCTCCTGAAGTAGGCGTGAGTTACCATCGTTGCTGATGCTCGCCTTCATGGACCATTGGCAGTGGAGTGCTTTGCCACTAGCAAGGGTTGTCATGCCACAGGTTGAAGGGAGGTCATCAATTGGCTGATCGACCTGCATGGTCTTCGGACCCTGAAGCGAGATGGAATGCACCAATTGGAATAGGCAAACACGAGGAACAGCAGAAAGTTACAGGATACAAAAAGAAGCATGCTTGAACTGCTCCAACTGCTGAAGCTGTGGGCGATGAGATGATGGAGTCCTCTAACAGGATTGCAAAAGGCGAGAGGTCCCATCATGTTATCTTGAAAGTTTGCACATGTATTCACGTAGGCACAGCCATGTTCATCCGAGGTTGGGTCAGCTTCAAGCTGGCGCCGGCATGCTGTTGGACCAACGTGGGCAAGAGCTGAGAAAGGACGATTGCCCTTCTGACAGTAGCTCCTGCTGTCTGCGATTTCTAGCCCTCTCTCGTGTTCGATGATTTGCACGACTCCGTTTGGATGTCCAGCAGTTCCAGCAGTTGTTTGTTGCCAGTCTTCGGCGGCACTTGTTACCGATACCACGACCAACGGAGGCAACTCGAGCCCGCGACTCAATCTGCACGCACGGCTTGCTATCGCCATCTTTCATGTCCTGTCTGGCAGGCTCTGCCGCCACTGCTGCACACCAGGATCAAGCTCAGGGGTGCTTCGGCTGCAACTGAAGCGTCCACGGTCATTTCGCTATGGTAGCTAATTAGTAGTGCAAGGAGACTCTTCGGTGTGAAGCCGAAGCCTTCATTCTTGACTCACCGAGGCTACCACGAGAGTCGCGGGAGCGTGAGAAGCCACAGGTGCGGCGAGTGGTACTTTCAGCTCTTCCCTCAGTCATTGACCCTTTCCCGAAACCGGGTTGGCGATATGGGGATTCCCAGGCTGGCTTGGCCGTTCTCAGTCGCTACCGCGGAAGTGGAGTCTGGCCTCTTGGCTACAATCGCACTTCTGCGCTGTGAGCCAGCAGCTGATCAGACGCAGTGCTGGAGGCTCCGTGGACAGATCCTGAAGGACAACGGCAATGGCACTTTCCAAATCCAGCTGTTCTCTCAGAACCGGACACAGCCGGAGCGTTTGATGGAGATAAAATGACGCCGGTGCGAGGTATGATTCAGGGGAGATTGAGCTGAATGTTCCTTCCGCAAACCTTCGCCTGGAGAGGCTCCGGGGTGTAGCGGGTGCTTTGCAACATGAAGCCAGAGAGCGGCTGTCAGTGAAACGGTTTTGGTTCCAGGACGGAAGTTCCAGCCACGCCTGCTGGCTGGCGTGCGGATGCCCGGTCTCCGGCTGTGCTGTTGACGTTTCCTGTGGGTCCGTGCCAGGTGTCGCCAGACCGGAGCTTGAGGCCACGCGCGGTGCCACCCGGGAGCCTTGCAGATTTGAACTGCCAGGGTCAGAGCCAGCTCGGCCAGCTCAGCCAGCTTCCTCCGCAGCCGGTCCCGCAACCGCTGCAGCCGGTCCAACTAAATGCGGGACCTCCACCGCCGCCACCGTGCGCAGCTCAAGGCCCAAACCTGTCGGGAGCCCTTGTGAGAACTGCAAGGCCACCGCCGCAGGGTCGTGGTGCCGCACCTCTTCAATGGGCAGCGCCGGCCACGGAGTGGCGGAGCGAACCAGTTGCCTCGCCCACCTCGCCCTTCTTAGGCTGGTGCGGCTGCTGCACAAGCTCCCGCAGGGTGCACGGCTCAGATCAGTCCCAGTCCCCGTCTTCTTGAGAGCATCCAGCAGCTTTTGTTGCAAGAGAACTGCAAGAGCTTCAAGCGGCGAGCTGTCAGGATTGGAATGGCACCAGCTCCCAGGCCAAAGGTGTGGTGCTGGGAGTAGCCCTTTCCGAGCTTTCCTTCTACCCCCCCTGTCGGCCTTTGCCGCTTTCAGGCGCCTGCACCTCCCAACCCTGAGCGCTCCAGCGCTGATGCGCAGGGTGCCCAGCGAGAGCGGCTCTTCGAGGCTCAGAGCTTGAGAAAATGTGACCGACGTGGCCCTTAAGGGAGAAGGATTGGCCGACACTCGGAGTGGATGGAGGCCAGGTCGACACTGGGTCGGGGTGGGGTTGAGTGCTTCCGGCTGATCAGGAGATGCACCCGGGAACCAGGAAGTCCTCGACCCCAGTGCTGCCGACTCAGATGAGCGAGCGTTGTGGCCTTTAGTCAAGCCTTGCGTCGGTGCTGAGGTTGTTCCGCCCTACCACTTCTGGCTTTGAGCTCACGCAGTTCTTGACATCAAAGTGCTTGCAATTGCTCGCCAGGGTTCTTCAGAGCCTTCGGATGCCTTCGGCGCATCCGGTTTGACTTCTCGTTCTAAGGTGCATCTATGCGGAGGGGGTGGACCTGGCCACGCTGACCTCCGAGCAGCGTGCTGTGCCAGGGCCTTGCGGGCCAAAGAAGGGGCCCAGGGATGCTGCGGGCAGTTCGGGCGGTGCCAAGGCCGGGGAGCGGCAACGCGGAGTCGATTTTCGGCAGAACGGCGCAGCCGAACACTGCGAGAAGCTCAGAAAAGAGACGACTTCCGAAGGAACAGAAGTCATTGTTTCATTTCGCATTTTGGAGGTCTGGGAGACACTGGTGCCCAACAGGCCAGGATGATGGCAGTTGTCGGCACAAACCCCCGCAGCCGCAGAAAGGTTCAACCACTCGACCATCTCTCGCGAGCACCTAAAGGCTCATGCTGTGGCGAAGTCAGGTGAACGCGTGGCATTCCGCCAGCGGCCCTGCTTCTTTGAGGTGATGGCACGCAGCTCTTCCAAGCATCTGGGTGTACCCCAGGTCGGATGAATCACAAGTGTCCAGTCTTCTCAAACCCGTACAGAGTTCCGAGCCATAGTCATGGAACTCTCAGGTGTCCTTCGCCATCACTTGCTTGTCTCAGAATTCCATCTTCTTGAACGGGCAGCACATGGACAGAAGTCGGGGCCTCGCGGCGCCGCGGCGCTTCGCACGTTGGCTCAGCTGGCTGCTCCCGCACTCCCTCAGGTTCGGGAGAGCATCCGCTGCAACACGGGGACGTGCTGTCCCTGGCCGCCAGTGCCTGAAGCCTGCAGCTGCAGCAAAGCGTCTCTGGAGTCTCTGGGCTTTGAGCTCCTGACAGCTCGTCGCGGACGCTGAGGCTCATCCCGTGTCGTCAGGCGACGGCCAGAAGAAAGTCTTCGTTGTTTTTCAGTTCGAGGCAGGGCCCGCTATGGTGTTCGGCAGAGGGCAGGGCAATGCGGACGAGACTCGGAAGGTGCTCGGACCGAGCCCCGCTGCAGCAGCCCTGCCTACGATCCGGCCGAGTGATGACTGCGATGTGCAGGAGGAGTGAATGCATCAATGGCCAACCACAAGCTGCAAGAGCGTAAGGCGGTAAAAGCACAGGAGCCGATGCAGCTGCAACCAGCGAAAGGGTGCAGATCTCGAGACCTGACTTCCATCCAGAAAAGAGTACGTGTGCTTCCTTCGAGGCCCTTCGATGTCCTTCACAGCCAAGAGGACAGCACCGAAGAAGCCAGTCTTGTGCGGATGATACAGTAGTTGGGTCAGCCCTTGTGCAGTCATAGGAACTGCAGCACCCTCCGAATGGAACGGTAGCCGGCCGATGGCACGGGTCTCAAGGGCAGCCCAAGGGTCCCACCGCGCACTGCGGTGCGGAGTCCCGGAGGCGCACCTCGGCCTCGGCGCCTGCTCCCTCGGACGCGCTCTACGCTCTCGAGGTCCTCGCGGCTCCGATGCTGCGATTGACGCTTTCAAGGTCTGCATCTTGGCAGGTTCACGGAGATGAGGTCCGGGAATGGCTGCCTGCCGAAGTCAGCGGCTAAGTTTCCATGCTCCGCGGGAAAACGCGCACACAAGAACGTGCGATGTGCGATGTGCGTGTGTGTGTGTGTGCGCGCGCGCGTACAATCGCCGACTTTCAGACTGGTGTGCAGAAAGGGGTCTGATGGAGTGCTCCATAACAGAGGATGCAGTGAAGCTCCGACGTCCCCGTGTGTGCTGGTCGGCACTCACTCAAAATTTGAGGTGTCTGATCGTTGTAGAGGCCCTCTGTCACGACCATGTGGTGCGCAATTTGGATTGCTTCATCATGAGGTCAGAGCTCGGAATGCTGCTAATGAGCGTGAACAGTTGCCAGAGTCTTCTTGACATTGCCAAAAGCAACAGAAGTGGAAGAGTGCCGAGGGCTAAGAATCACGCATGGAGGGGAGGCGGGAGAGAAGAGTGCTTCTGGGCAAGATGCGCTCGGATCCACCATTCGGGGAGTGCATGTGAGTGGGTGCTGGGATATCACTGTGCATGGGATGAGCGCCATAGCGGGTTCATCAGGCATAGCGTGCCTAACGGTTGGCCAGACGTGTTGACGAGCCCAAACCCAGCCCTGGACATTGGGCGTTCTTCTTTGATGGTTATGTTACTGATGCTGCATTCTATCAGTTTACAGTTTACTATCACTGTATGCCAACCAGAAAAACATTTCGGTAGATATCCACATGCGCACAAGCGCCGCAGACTTTAATGTTCCATCGGAGCCACTTCTTGCCCAGTGATGGTGTTCGAACTCGATGGACAGAAGGCTTGAAAGTTGGAAAGTTGAAGTTTGATACGGTCAATGTCTAGTTGAAGGCCTGGCGCCCAATGAAGTGCATGACTGCAGCAGAAGGAATCTAATTTCTTTGGCTTTTTTTGCGTTGTAAGACCCAAACTCTCGGAACTCTTCGACAGGTGATTCCCTTGCCTTGAAACCCTTACGAAAATCCAATTGCCGGCATTTTGGCCTCTTGAGGCCCTTTAAAGCGTACACTCCCTGACCGGATGAATCATAACCTGTGGTTCATCGCTTCTGTGTTTCAGAAAACCCGCGACAGCTAAAGGCAGAGCCGAGACTTCGTAGTCCGGGCATGGCCATTCCACGGCCCACGAGCTTTGCTTTGGGAGCGTACTAGATACCGAACACTTAAGTGCGTTCTTGTGCGCGGCGTGCGCCAGCCTATGCCGAAGCCAGGAGAGGCAGCTCTTCGGCTGTGAGCCTGCGTCGTCGGAGGCCACTCTGAAAGCGAAACAGAGCCATTGCCAGCCCTGGCCGTCGGGAGGCCTCACCATGGCTTCGTGTCGGCCGCTTCTACCAGAGCCATGGCCCTAGGAAAAAAAGAAGAGAGCGACCTCTGACCTCCGACCTGACGACGCACAGCGTGGCACAGCAGGGGGACTCTGGGAGCGCATCCTGACCGATGAAGTGCTCAAAGGAGGTTCTGCCTTTAGAAAGTCGGCTAAGTTGCGAGAGAGATGCTTCTTGCAGCTTCTTGCTCGGGGCAGGCACTCTGTGGGGATCCATCATGGCACAGGCGTGTCCTCTCTCACGGAGATATGCTCGCGGTCGACCCGTGCAATGGCTGAAGGACCACTTCGAGATTCTGGCTGTCCGGAAGAACAATCCACGGCTTAGCTCCCAACATGTCGCGGTTGACAAGGCATGAGTGTCCATGTGAGCTATGAACGAAGGTCTTCCGAGCCACCCGATTGGTGCTTCAGATTGCGCGTACCAAGCTCAAGCATCTCGAGTCTTCATTGCCACTCCCATCTGATGCCCACACTTGGGCACGCCAGGTGCTAAGCGCAGCTGGAGTCACGCTGAACTACAGCATGGTCTGCACTTCAGGCTTCTTAGCAGCAAGTGGTGTGTGCGCACAGACATAATAAACGGATTGCTGCGAGTTGCCGAACTGAGGTGATGAAAGGGAGCCTCGGAGTAAACAGTGCCAGGCTCACATTTGCCATGCGGCGTATTATCCAGCTTAGGAGTTGGGTCCCAGCGATACGTACGGACCTAAGCCCAAGTCGGAGTCTTGTCGTAGAAGTGAGGAGTCCTCATGCGGCACAGGTTGACCCTGCGGCGCCCCGTTGCCAGAGGCACCCCCTCACAGTCCGAATCTCAGAACTGTGCTACTCTGCCGCGTCTATCTTGTGCGACTGTGCTGTATCTCACCGACCCGAGGCCCACGGCCTCTGTTCGGGAAGACGGTTCAGACGGTCCGTTACTTGGACCTGCAGACAGAGCAATGCAAAAAAGACAGCGGACGGCTTGGAAGGCCAACACCTGAAGGGCTTTCACATGACCTTCATACCACTCGTGGGGACGAGGGCCCAGAGATGCAGTGCCCCAACTTGGCTTCCGCTCCTCTCTGAAAGTGAGGCCTTTGTCAAAGCAAAGTTCTGAGTGGTCAGCTGAGGGGTTCCTCCTCCGTCTGTAAACTCGGTAACGACTCTCCTTCTTCAAGGCCCGAGGCGGAGTTCGCGAGCCTTGAGCCGGAGCCGGGCGAACGTCCGCAGCTCCCAGAGCCGCGGGCCTGGAGCTCCCCCTCCCGTCCTTTATGCAGCGTGTTTGGAAGGCTGTCAGACTCTGAGAACGAGGGATCCGGTCACGGGAGACCAGGAGGACTCGAGAGCAGCGGCCAAACTCGCGAATGAGTTTTGGGCCGGCGGCAGGAAGCGCTTCACTTCTGGCCTCTGCGTATCCGCGTGCGGGGGCACTGCGGCCACCAACCGACGCAACAAGCTAAGATGTGGCCAACCGCTCTTCACAGAGACATGTTTCATGGCTTGGCTGCCGTGGCACCAAGCGCAGAGCAACAATACAAATCCTCACGTAGTGATGAAAAGACACCAGCTGCAGCTGCACCATGCCGCATCAAGCTCATTTGCTTAGTCGGTGATTCCGAGTGTGGGTCAACGCCCTCATGCGGCCCGAGGTGCTACCCATCAACAGTCTGAGCCACAGCTACACCAAAGGACTTCGAGCATTCAGTTCCGCCGACCGGACTTCACCATTTGCGATTCCGAGGCGAAAGCTTCGATGAGGTGAACCCCTTTGTCGTGCCTTGGCTTTGAGCAGCGCCTACCTTCTTCAGGCTTCGAAAAGATCTCCGGTCCTGGCTGCAGGCTCCTCGCCCTCTTGGGTCTAGCTACACACACTCCAAGCAGGAGCTCGCCTAACACTTAGTTTTCCCTGAACGACAGAAGTCCAGTCGCTTCGAAAGGCTGGTAACATGGGGAGCCCTAACACAGAGCAAGGCTGAGATGCAGTTGAACATGAAGCTTCTTCCGCAGCCACGTCAGCAAAGCACAGAACAGATCGACCCCCAGCATGTATGTAGCTTGAAGTAGCCAGCTTGCCGCGGCTCTTCTCAAGCCCAGCCTACCCAGTTTGTCAGTTGGCCCCCCGAAGCCTGAATTGGTATTGGTTGTGCTGCAGCACTCATGGTCCAACCATGGTGGCCGAAGGCAGCCCGGTTGCGACGAAGCGACTGGGTGACTGGCTGGTGCGACGCATGTTCTGCTGCGCGGGTGCTGTCGTCTTGGTCCAAAATCTGATGCTGCTGAATTGGACAGCGCAGATGCAGATTACGACCCCGGAGCCTTGCACCTCCGCACCGGCTTCGGAGCCAATACCCCCATCGCCCGAGCCAGTGACAGCCAGGACGGAGGAAGCCGAGGAGGCGAAAGCCATGTTGGAGTCAAAGTCGAAGCTTGTTCAAGCTTTGGAGGAGGAAGTCGCGAGCCTGAAAGCAAAGATAGCGTCATCTCCTGGCGTTCAGGCTCCCGTGCCCAAAGTGGCGCCGATGACCGTTGCGACCAGCATGGACTCCATAAGGCTTTTAGATCCGACAAGCAGGCAGCTTGGTAGGGAGTCCTCGTTACACTCAGTCTCGCGAGAAGAGTTGCGGATTTTCGGAAACCCAGTACCCCCCGGTGTTTCCATGGCCGTCGGATTCGGCAGCGTAAAGCGGAAGAAAGATTATGTACTGGACACGGTGAGCCTCATGCTAGGTCTGCAGGGCGAAACCCATGTCTCTCCAGAGGAACGAAGCAGCGTGGTCATCGTGGCTCATTTTGCTGACTTCGACACCGCTTGGGTCAACCAGACAGCCGGCACGCTCCAAGAGCAGTATAAAGATCTCATCGCTGCTGGTCACTTTCACGCTTTGCATGCCAAAGAAGAGTTCTATCCGCCGCTGGACATATGCCCCCCGACGTGTACCTACAAGGATAATGCACGTCGTGTGAGATGGCGCTCCAAGCAGAACATCGACTATGCCTTCTTGATGTATTATGCCGCCTCCCTAGCTCCCTATTACCTGCAACTTGAAGACGACATAAATTTTGCCCATAACTGGGTTTCGAAGATAAATGACTTCGTAACATCGTCTTACCCACCGACTTACAAGTCGAAAGAGAACGCCCCATGGAGGATGATCGATTTTTCGCAACTGGGATTCATCGGGAAATACTTCCAGTCAAACGAGCTTACACGCCTTGCACAATTCCTTCTCCTATTCTATGACCAGATGCCATGTGATATCCTGATCAACCAGTGGATGTTGTCCATGACGCAGGGGAAGAAGATAGAATATTTCAAGAGTCACACTTCCTTGTTCCAGCATGTCGGTGTCTTCCGCACTTTGGGCGATGGATACCAGATACTTCAGGACACCAAGTTTGGCAAGACACTTTGGGATAATCCTGCAGGCGAAGTTACCAAAAACTTATCAATCGTGCCGACCTATGATGTAAAGTTTCTCTATTTCCCAAATGGCGAACCTGCGAAGCGGAAGGACGTCTGTGACTTCTCTGCGAGCCCCAAACAGAAGACTGCCAAACGTTGCTGGTTGTGGGCTACTCACGTCCAAGCGGGTCAGCATGTCACCTTAACTTTCGCAAGCGCCGTGAAAGTGAAGGCCTTGCTCTTCGAGTTCGGGAGTGATTTCTATCCAAAGGACCTCCTTGGGAACGGTGTGATCCAAATAGCCGGCGGCCAAGCGGCGCAAGGCCAAGCGGTGTTTTGCAGCAAGTTTTTGGACTTGGTTCCTGTGCGGCGAGACCGGGTGATCTACTGGGAGGAGGGGGTGAGTGCACCTCCGAGTCTTCCCGTGAACCCTGTGAGCTGTATCCGGATTCTGATTCTGCAAGCTCAACCTGAGTGGATTAACTTCTGGTCGATCCAAGTCCGACGGGAGTGGGACAACAAAGCAAGATAAGATCTGCCCTGCTCTGCCCCTCTCAAAGAGTCAAAGAGGGCGTGACGATGCAAGACGCCGGTCAGAAGCGAAACTGGTGCATGAGATCGCTGCAGTTCTGTGGCCGAGAATTGGATCCGATGCTGGCAAAAGGCAGCGCCCATGCTCGGACCCCATAGCCGCCGCCTGACCCAGGCAATACCTAACAGAGTCAAGTGCCGATCTGCAGGTGGGCACGAGAATCCTCGAGCCCAGAGCTCAGGCAGAATGGATGCAGGTCGGATTTTGAAAGCCTGCGGCCTGCGCTTGCCAGGCGAAGGAACATGATCATATTGACAGTAGGCCTTATCCCAAAATTGCTCTCCCGTATCATCGAGGTTTCCTTCTGGCCCCTTTGTCTGAGACCTCTGAGGGCGGTCGGTGGTTCAAGGGCATCGAGGTGGCGACAATGGTCATTCCTATCTCAGGAACTTTGCATAGCATGCTTCCAACACGGAGAAAGCTGGTCTGACATCTGTATTACGAGCAAGGGCTCGTGTTCCTGGCCACCGCATCTGAGGCCGCGACCTGCGAAAGACAAGGAATCGGCGGAGCCAGATGATCTGTTTGCTCGTACAGGCTTGTACCAGCAAGGAAGCCTTCAAGACTTATAAGGGGGGTGGTTCGTTGTGAGGTCTTTCGCGCAGGGGTGTGGTTTCAAGAAGGTACCGCGGGGAACCTTATGTCAGCGCTGGGCAGGTTTCCGACAAGATGGAGTTCCACCGAACGAGGACAGTGACTGGTACTAAGGATGGCTTTGTGCCGCATGCCATGATGCTCCGTAAGATGTTGATGCTCCTTGCCAATGCGCTCCAGATGAGAGGTGCTCTTTTGCCAGGATTGTTGCTTAAACGGGAGGAAGAAATTTCGCATGCAAGCAGCAAACTGATGACTAGCCGTGCATTCGCCATGTTTTCAACCAGGCGAGTGGGTTCCACATGAGCCAGAACATAGCATGTAGACATAGGACGTGGGGGATTTGCTCAGCGCAGAGGAAATCCCTAACATGGCCGTGATCTCGGGCGAGGGAGTTGAGGTGCTGCCTATTGAGACCAAAGATGTCACTGCATCGCGCAGGCGACCAGCAATGGCCACCCTGCGAGAAAAGGCCCATGATATACAACACGATGACAATAACAACATTGCACAGGTTTGTAAGTGGCAGGGAGAGAGAGAAAGAGAGAGACAGAGAGAGGCTTGTAGGTTGCAGACCCCTGCTTTGCAGGTTCATGGTTGACTAGTTTCTCATGCTAGTCTCATACTGAGACTGCTTGTCCCGGATTCTTTAGCTAGGTTAATGGTAGCTTGAGAGAGCACAATGCTCGTTGATCAAGGCTAACAAGTTTCACAGGTTTCATTGCGATTTGTACAGTCGCATTGGCGAGTTCCAAACTTCGGCCAGCGAAGATCTTGCTGCTGCTCGAAGCGGACACCGATTTCGAAGCAGAGCTCTCTGTCTTCGAGCGATTTTGGCCCAGGTTGGAGTCCTGACTTCGGGGCGAGTCCATCAAAGCTTATTTGCAGTGGAAGTCGACCACGCGATCCTTCGAGAGCTAGCAGAACCTCAGGCAGACATAGACATAGGTTGCTATGGCGCCCCTCGCAATCGCCGAGCTGTCGCTTTGTGGACTTATCTCGCGGTTGAAGGAGGTGCTTGTAGCCCTCGACCCTTCCATGCTGTTTGTGAGTGCGAACAAACACGCATGTGGCGTAGTGGTTCAGGTGGAGCACATCAAAGGCCTGGTGCCGAAGAGCTGATTATACATCCAAGCTTCTCCGTTCCGTTCCGTTCGGAGGCATCAAGAGTCCTGATGATGAGCAGGCTTGGCAAAGCTCTCAGCTTGCGGTAGCAGCAGGGCTTCGGACTTCAGGCCGCAATCCTTTCCACAGAAACGGATGTCAAGAAGGCTCTGTTCGAGCAGCTGCAGGCAGGGTAGCAGGTGATGGCGTGACTGCCGAGAGCATTTCAAGCAGGCTGCGAAAACAGACGGTGTGGCTTCCTTCGAAAAAAAGGTTGGGAAAGAGTCGCGGGCTTAGCTAGCTAAAATCAGCAGCCTCCCCAGGCTGCTTCGCCCTCAGATCCCAGCATATCGTGGCCGAAGGTTTCTGCAGGAGCAGCTGAAGTCCATCGACGACACCTCCAAAGGTTCGCCGGCAGCCGGAATCGAAGTATGGTTTTCCGTGCCGTCGCTCCAGGAGGTCAGGCAAAGAAGACCAAGCTTCAGGAGCTACTGACCGGCCTAGAGGCGCGAACGGACACATGCTGGCTTCCTCGAGCCGTGCCCTTGCCCAAGTTTTCAGGGTGAGCTTGGCTTTTGTCGCACACCCATCTGTAGCACATGGCTCCACAGTGCCCACTGTCAACTTCAGCCACCGTAGTGCTGTACCTTGCGCCGGCAGGCGGCGTCAAGCAGAGACGACCCTGCGCACGTTCGCCGAGCCAGGGCCCCGAAGACCCGTGGAGTTGCCACGCAGCTGGCGCTCAGCGGAGGCAAAGCAGGACGTAGCCAAGTCCGAGAAGGCCTTCGAGGCCCAGCACTTCGAGTCTCCAGAGCCTCCCATGTCTCTGCCGGGCCGTTCCCTTCATGTGGAGGATATCCGCAAGGACTACGAGCGCTTGGACCCCGGCAGCTTCCGCACAGGAAAAACGATCGCTCGGAATCGTTCCTGAGCCTCAGGATGGGAAAAGGGGAAGAAGATGTTGTGGTCCGAGCATGTGCACGTCAGAAGAAGAAGAAATCCCAGGACGGCATCGATGTGTTAAAACTTGAGGCTCAACATTGATGAGATCAAGGTTCTCAAGCGCTCCTTCGAAGAGAGCAAGGCCAAGGTGGAGAAAGCCAGGTGCCATCGCGTTTTGTTTCGGATGCAAAAAAGGAAGTCTCTGCGCCCTTTTCGTGCCCCACAGAAGCTCGTGCAGGGCCATCGTCGAGGAGCAGCAACTCCGCCGAGCGGAGGCGGCCGTGGCGCCGGTGGCGGAGGAAAAGGAGAGGCGGGCCCCGCGTGAGCAAGCAACTTATTCCTTCTTGTGGGTCTTCTGGCAGCAAGCGAGAGTCCGGGCGCTTGTTGTCGGGAAGAACGAAGTGCCCCGATCGTCAAAGCTGGCCAGGGGGGCAGCTGCCCTTGCCGCAGAGGCACGATCTGCTCGAGCACGAGCCGTCGCCAGCAAGGCCGGAATGTTGGCCTCACTGAACTTCGGAGGGCGCCAGACTGCTCAAGATTCTCAGGCACCTTCCCGGCCGATGAATCCGAGCACGTCGAAGGCTTGATCTTGAGAGATTCTTAGCATGCCGCAAAATGCGTGTGAATGCCGCGCCGCACATGAAAGCCCCCGCCTTTTTTCATGCAGGCGGCCGCGCCTGCAGGCGTGGAGATACATGCCGAGACGTATCCTGGAAACTTGCGATTAAGCAGGATACCCGCCAAAGGCAGCGGTAGCTCCCGCCGCATTGCGTCAGGCGCAGGTTGCGGCCCAGGCAAGCCGATTCTGGCAATTCCCGTAGTAGTGGGATTGGACGCCTGCATCAGGTGAGGGCCGAAGCCGAAGTGCCATCAATCCCAGAAGGATCCTGAGCCCACTCTGCGTCTCGACGTGTCTTTGATGCATTGAGACCTGAGGCCTCAGCGCCGGCCCCTCGGCCTCGGCCAGCCCCGCGGCCCAAGGCAGAGGCCGCGGCCGAATGCAACGAAGTCCCGATTTTTTCATCGTAATGTGGCCAATGTGGCCAGCCCGAGGACGCACCTGTGCTTTCTTATGCTGTTTCCTCAGCCCGACGCGAGAGAGAGCGAGAGCGAGCGACGAATTCCTGTCTCAAGGCCTGCACATGTACAGCAGTTGCGCAACATCTTGGCATCACAGAGGCCGGTTGTGACAGTTGGCGTTTTTCAACCTCTACATAGAATTGGTGACTCTTCTTGTGCCTTGACGCAGGCGCAGGCCAGAGAGCTGGCTGAATCTGCCCGCGACTTCGCTCAGCACTTTGATGCTGAGACTTGGGAAGCCCTCCAGGAGCCTCATGACTCGCCTGTCGCATGCTGGAAGATTTGCATGCAGTGAGAGGAAAAGTCCTTGGCCATTGAGAAGGACTCACCACACACGGGCACGTCCCTGCAAGTCAAGTAAAGTGATGGACGGCAGGCCAATCAGGAGAAGCAGCGCGAGGCAGAGAGGCGGAAGAAGGAGAAGGCCTTGGCCAAGGCGTGGCCAAGTTCCTTTCACTGGTCAGCTCGCCAGGTGGTGTACACCCGACAGAGCCAAAGCTTGCGAGTCCTCCCAGTAACCTCCCGTGTCCATCGCAGAAACCGACTTTAGGCCCTTGACCACTATACCGGGTCAGAGGGTGTCAACCGAAGACCCTGCTGCGTCGGATTGTCTGCCTGCGATGCAGGTGACACAGGTTCAGAGCAGCTGCGTGCTCAGAAAGGGTCGGTTTGATCCTTCCAGACAACATCGGAAGTCCAATGCTTTGCTCGCAAGCTCTACTGTACTGGAAGGTGCTGCTGCTGTAGGTGCTGGCGCCGGCGCAGCCAACGCCAAGACTGCAGCCAAAGCTGCTCGTGCCTTTGGTCCCGGGAGCGTTTCCAAGCTGTGCATGTACGGTAGAGGTCCAAACCCAACCAGTGTCGAGGTCCCGCAAGCCGTAGTCGGCAGAAGCCCCGACCCAGTCGCTGCAAAGGCAAAGCCAAAGGCCGCGAATCGCTAAGGGAGGGGGGAAGCGCGACTTAAAGCGAGCGGGGATTCGAAGCAGCCCGAAGCGCAGGTCAAAGCGAAGAGCGCAGCCAAGGAGCTTCCGCGTCCGGGGCCCGGCATGGCCCAGCCCGCTCGGCCCGCTCGGCCCGGGGCGTGTCCCGTCCATGTCGGTTTCGGACTCCGCAGGTCACGATGGACTGTCAAGCCTGGCTGGCGCTAACAAGTTTGGCAGCCCCTGCCTTGAGTGCACATGAGGAGTCATGACTTGTAGAACACTGTAGAATCTCCTGAATGTGTGAAAGATGCAGGTCTTGAATCAGATGAGGAGGAGGAAGGCCCCGGTGACGAGATTTGATCACGAAGTGTAGGCTCAAACAGCTGCATTCGGCCAAGGTTGGGCAAAAGTGAGGCGATGAGTCTCGAAGGGTGGGATGGCCCATCCCTTCGAAACCGTGTACAGTCAATTCTCGAAGGTGCATCCATGTGATCATGCGATGTATCTGGACATGAGGCGTACTCAACACCGATCTTCATAATCCTGGGGCTGGAAGACAGAAACACCCCGCCCTAGGGCATAAACTGCACGGCACGCTGGACGTCAACGAAAAAATGCTTTGGGCTTCTGACGCAGTGTAAAAGGGTCTGCACAGAGAGGCGCATGCTGATGTTGGCAGCTGTTGGGTTCAGTCCGTTCCTCGGCCTCCGATGACTCCATGAGCATTCTACTGAAGGCTTCGCATGGTATGGTGGGTCTGGTGACTTGTCTTGCTGTGAATTCTTACAGTAGGTCTTGCGTACGCCAGAAGGGCCGCTGGCACAGGGTAGTGATGCGGTGTGTGCAGTTCACGACAGAGCGGAACCGACGGTGCTTAAAGTGAACCCGAGGCTGGCTTTCATGATAATCGGTACTGGTAGCAGTCTGGCGCACTGGCTCCCAACTACACTCCCACGAGTGGCACCTTGGACCGTGGGTTTCGAGCCGGAGCTAGTACCATGCTGGAGGCAAGTCGACAGCCTGTCGCAGTGTTGCAAGCGAGAGGGCTTTCAGACATGCGGCGGCGAAAATGTGCGCTCAAGATGCTGTGCGTTCCCCGGAAGCGTGATTCACGGGGAAGGCTTGCTGCCAGAACTCGCAGAGGAATGCTGGGTCACAACCAGCCCGATGAATGTGACACAGGATACCAATGGCCCCTTCTGGGTCAGGCAGCGGAACTATCTTGTCAGCTGGGTGCTCGCGAACCATCCCAACGATGTATTAGATACCCCGTTGAGAGAGCATGGGGAGATTTCAGAGGAGATGTCAGCACTGCTGGCCGCAGAATGTCAAGTTGGTATCATCGCGCTTCAGCTCCTGCAGAGCGAAACTTGCAGCAGCACACGTTCTGCCGCAGCTCAGCAAGTGCTTCGAATGCCGTGGCCAGCTGCCGTGTTCAGTGGTTGGCCAGTCTTCCTCCTATTGGCACATGCTGCCGAAGATGCCTGCAGCGTTCCTTCCAACAGCTCCGACGATGACGTGCTGGTCGCCGCCCTTTTGGGACTCTGTGAGAAGATGGAGGCTGCTGTTGCCGGGACCGCCCGGCTTGCTGCCGAGGCAGCCTCTTCACAGGATCCCTTGGTCATCCAGCCTGGCGAGAGACTCACTGCGCAGATGGAGGCTGCCAAAGTTTCCTTGGAGCTCCTGCAGAAGATGGCAATCAGAGAACCATCAGCCCCAAAGCCCGCGAAACTATGGCTCATCTTGCACCGGTTGCAGGAGGCACTCAGCCTCAGAGGGACTTGTCCGCCAGGGACGTTTCTGACGAAGGTCCGTGCCTTAGGCTGGGAGTATCGAATTTGTATCCGGCAACCGGAATCGTTGGGTTCTTGGCTTGGTGGATCCTTGGTAGACAAACGGATCTTGAACCAGGGCCAGTGGTCGGAATGCGCTTTGTCCGCAGAGCTGCTTCCACCTCCAACTTCCCAGCTAAGCCCACAGCACTGGCGTTCTGCTGGGAGCGGCTGCATCGTCATCGACCTTGGGGCCAACATCGGAGCCTGTACGCTGCTTTTCGCTTCCATGGGTCACCGGGTCATTGCTGTGGAGCCTGAGCCATCAAACCTGCTCATGCTGCACGCCTCCCTCACCTTGCCGCAGGAAACCGAACTCACGTCGGCAAGTTCAGTTCTCAAACGAAACTTACGAACTCGTCAGAGCACTTGCAAACAGCTCTCGCGCATGCAAGGACGCGACACTGGGCTTCGGAAAAGTTGCTATTTCACCTGTCGCCGTCGATGAGGCGGCTGGAACTGTCCAGCTAAGACGGAACCCGAAGCTGGGCTGCATCGCCCAAACGGGCTAGGAGGCTCCAAACACAAGGCCTCGAAAGACCCATAATTTCCTGATGTGCTGTGAGGTTCGACGCAGGCAACAGCACTATAGTTCAAAGCGGTGAGGCCCGGATTTCTGTCGAAAGCGTTGCAATGGTTGCATGTCCCACACAGCATCAGCAACGGCCAGGAAAGCGCCGCAGATCAGATGCCTTTGGTGCCTGTGGGTGAAAGAGCAGTCAATTTCCTGTCGCAGCTCACTTCTCATTTCATCTGGGCTGTCTCTAAAGAGTCTAGGTCGAGTTTTCCAGCATCGTCCCTGCGCGCCCGTTGGACGAGATAGCAGAGGAGCAGGTCGGCAGAAACTCAGCAGTAACAAAAGTATCTGATGGAGCACACTTGAGCTGACAGGCTTTCCGCCTTGGTGGCTCCCTGTCAAACATTTGCATGATGCAACTTGGTCAAAAAGCGTACAGGGTTGGATGAAGTTTGAGATCCAGGAATCTCGAAGTCCCAAACTACACTTATTGTCCTGTCCACCGAACATCCATCAACGGATAGAACCTAGCATGTAACCGCTGGACGGATTACGCCGGAGCCGGGGATGCCACTGGTATGGCCTGAAAAGATTGATCTTCCGCAGATGTCTGCTTCCTCATGGATTGACCGTGGTGCTTTGACGCTGCGGCCTTGTATTGTGAAAAAACTGTTCGGAGTCACAGTTTTCATGGGCGTAAGGTTTGCAGTGTAGGGCTGTGTGAGATGCAAATCCTGCCTAGATAGGGTGCCGCAGCGTGGCAAGAACCCCTCGGCCCAGTTACCACTTACGAAACCATGGCCTTTAAGCCATGAACATGGTACACATGAGCCAACGATTGGAGGGACGATCTATTCGACGCAACATGGGCTCGTAGCATGGGCATCACAGCGTGAAGCCATGCCGACGACTTCAATGAAGTCAATGGAAGTCCGCTGAGAAATCAAGGGGAAAACGCGTGTTTGCTCAGGAAGATGGACATCGAAGGAGCTGAGCTCAAAGCTTTGCGAAGTGCACCGAAGTTACTGTCGGGGCCACTTGCCTCAACCAGATCGCAAGCCGCACCCGCCTGGCCTTCGCCTCTTTTGTGCCAGGCCGCTGCGTGCAATCTCCTTCGAGTTCTCCCCAGGCATTGTGCAGATAGGTTGTGACGGTCCTGCTTGTTCAGATATCGATGTCAGGACCGACAGAAGCAGACATAGCTGAAGCAGTCGTTCTCTTGCAGCTGCTGGCAGGGCATGGAAGCTTGGCTGAATCATTGACTGCCCAAAGTTTGAGGACATCGTCTTGCAAGCCATCCTCTTCGTGGCAAAATCCCACCAAGGCTTTGTGATCTTCGGTCATCGCGGGATGACTAGCGGACTCGTCGTTAGCGAGGAACGCGACACTTGGCTGGCTCCGGACCATTGTATCGCTATCCAGCGTGATTCGGCCTGCGTTTCGCTTTTGATTGCGGGTGGCCTAAGGAGTATGCAGCTCATGAGTTTGAGAGCCTTGCGCGGCATGTAGCATCACTTCGCGTGCCCGGATTGCTTTCAGCGCTGAAGCTTTAGCAGCTGTGGCACCCAAGAACACTTTTCAGGGCTGAGGCATAGACTCAGACCGACACGAGGGCGCGCTGCCCTTGATACAATTATTTCATCCTACCGGTGCGCATGATCTCGACATGTTAACCTTCAGCTGGAATCCAGACGTTCCAAAGTAACCCTTCGATCTGCGCAGTCGTTGATTTCCAGTTTGCTCATAGACCATAGTTTAGGTCCTTAGGTGTGCAGTTTTCTGGATGGGAGAAGGCCGATGCAAGAGCATCTGCGCCCACCATCTGCAGATGCAGTTATGAGGTTGGATGCGGCGTGATCTTGCTGCCGGAAGAGCTAGTCGCCCTGTCCATTCGGCCAAAGTTCCGAGCCATGGTTCCCTCCATATACTTCACAGCAGGAGCTTGCAGCACGGCCGAATTCGGAGCCAGCGCGGCTCCGTGCCCCTGAATAGGCTCGGAGAAAAAGGCCGGATCAGCTTGCTCCACACAAAGTCCCGGTTTAAAGGCCTGCTGAGATTCTCCTGACATCCCAGACTGCGTTGGACGTCGGCTCAGCAGGAGGTCTGAGCATTGCTAGTACAGCAGTCTCCGCAACGGATCGGGATACCATGTACTGAATTGCAAAACCTCGACCAGAAAGCAGAAACGCAACTGAAGCTGATGCCAGCTGTTGAAACTTGTTCTCCATCAGAATGTGCAAATGACCGATGCAGATGCAGATGCTTTCATTGAGGAGGCAAAACTAGCCAAAGCCCCTTCAGTCCAGCGCCTGCGTATCCCTACGTAGAAAACAGGTACGATTGGAGCACTTCCACACCTGGCTCGAGGAAGCACAGATCCGGCCCAGTGAGATCCTGCACCTGAAGGGTTTCGGTGGGAATGTGCCCAGCTTCTTTGACAAGGACTCCTGTGCTTTCTTCCGTCGCAAGCCCAAGTTAAGCCGACTTCTTGAGCTGGAAGCCCTGTGGTGCTGACGGAGCTGCTGAGTTTGGTATGGTACATTTTTGCTGAGTGGAGCGAACTCTTCGATTTTCGGAGCCTCTTCGTGCGTGCCTTTTGGGGAAGGGTGAAAGTTACTGGCTGAGGGACTTTACAGCACCAGACCTGAACAGTGCGCGACTTCGCGTGGGTGCTTGCAGTCGGGTGCTTGCCCTTAGTCTGCTACAGAAGGAGAAGAGAGATAGCGAGCGATAGAAGGAATGCACTCACTGTGGATTCCCGGAACAAGCATACTTCAATGTGCACTCAACGATCAAGCTGGACAAGTACTTGCGCCTCTGGCTGACAGACATACGGTTCAAGATTGCTTATGCGCCTGTGCTTAGCTTACGTAGCCCATGAGAGATCGCAGAACGTGGCCCGCAGAAACTGTGGCCTATGAGCCAGTAAAGCAACTCCAGGGCTTTGTGTGTATCATGCACCATGAAGGAGGGTTGCGACTGCTAGCTGCTAGATTTGCGCACCCTCTGGAACTAGCGAGTCATCGACCGGGCTGGGCGTCGCACGTGCGTGTGTGAACGATTGTGAAAGGTTTTCTGAAAATTGAATGCCCTTGAGTGCAGACTTGCACACATCCGGCCAGCGGCCCGAATCGTAGAGTCCTTGCGAATCACCTGACGGCATGACCCGCTCGTTGATGACCGCGCAGGAGGCGGTTACGGAAGCAAGCCGGTCTTCTCTTTTGGCACCGTGGTGCATGTCAACTAAGTCATTCTGATGCGTGCTTGGAGCTTCTGCATAGACGTCATTCGGTTGAAAGACGGGCATATCCGAGGTCTGGGATGGTGATGAGCTCAAAGAAACAAGCTTTACCAGATTGATTCCGGAATACCTGAAGTCTGGAGAAAGCCGACGAGTTGTTGCTTTCAGGCCCACTGTGCCGTGATGTTGGACAAATAAACTAAGAAGCCAAGTGTTGAAACACTTCTGCGAGTCCAGAGGATAAACGATTCTATCGACAGCTTCAAGGCAAGCTGGAAGGAGGCAGTGGCTCGTGGACTTGTCTGGCAGTTTGGCAGTTTGTCGAAGGGTTTCAGAATGCTTTCAAGACACCGGCTCGAGCAAACACAAACGAAGAGCTACAGAGAAATTGAGCGAGAAAAGGCTCCATTCAGGCGTGGCGCGGCGTACATTGATCACGTGCGGGATCTGACCGACACCCTGCCAGATCTGGAGAGTAAGCGAGCCGCCGGCGCAAGCATCAAGATGTCATGCAACAGCGGCAGGCACGGCAGGAACACGGACGAGACAAGAGAACCAACGTAAGAAGAAAAGAGCAGAATAAGAAGGCTGCATTAGCAATGTACAGGGTGTCGAGCTGTAACAAATGCATGGGACATGGCGTCGAGCTGTGACAGATGCACGAGACATGGTCGTCCAGTTAGGGCCGAACTGTGATCTCGCGTGAAAAAAACAGCCACTTGAGGGTCGGCCCGTGCCTTGAAACCTGAGCAAAGTGTGCGGGAACAAAGCCTGTAGAAATTGCAGGCCGCTCTTGCATTCAGTGCATTGCTCTCTCCTTTAGCCGGGTAGGTTTCCAACAGGAACTGCGACGAGACACAGTGCCACAGCGCTTCCAATGGGTCTTTACACACTATTGCTTCGGTGCCCGGGTTGCTCAGGACCTGGGACTTGATTATGAGCATTGCTGCACAGGGGTCGGGCTCACAAACCGAATTTGGACGCAGGCGTAGCGCTGCTGCGCAGGGGACCGTGCAAGCGAGATCCTAACCTCATGATTTGATTGGACCATGAAACCAGTGCACGCACGTGGGGGGGGGGGGTAGTGGTGTTCCCTGGCTTCCTTGCGTGGAAGACAGCTAGAATTTGCCACACCTCAGTTTCTGAGCCGTGAGCCTCATGCCAGCCGAGCGAACTGACAGCGCTGCAGCCCAGAAAGCGAGAGAGAGGGAAGCACCACTCGGAAAGGCACCCCTTCGGGCCGTTGCTCCTCAAAGGTGTCCTTTCCCTGTCGCGAACTGCTGGACATACTGTCATACGGGTGTGCAAGGGCGCAGTTTTCAGGCTACCTCCCTGACTCCTGTTTCCAACGCATGAAAGACAAAATGAATGACACTAGGTCACTAAGACACTAAGAGATCTGAAAGCTGAGTCTTTCCTGAACACTTGGTGCGCCGCCAGCACTGCTCCACAGATTTTCAGCTGTGCCGATGGAAGGTTGCAGCCGCACACCCCGGCCGCATAGCTGTTGTGCCCGTTGACCTCGCGGACCTCATGAGTCGCCTTAGGCGATATGAGGCAGCCATGAAGCCTGGCTCTTACTTCCAACGCTTATGAAGCTCTTCAAGAATGCTAAGCTCGTCGCTCGCAAAGGGATATACCACCGGGACGGCAAAAATTTGTGATGCTCGGCCGTCTGGCCATTGAGGCGAGCTCAAGCATAGGGCATAGGCTTCTGCAGAGCACGGCCCCTCGCCAGGCGAGCGGCGCGAAGCAAGTCGTTGCACTTGGTGGAGGCCAGGGAAGAGCAGATTGATTTTTACGGAAAATTCGTGTCTGTATGTACATATGGACACATATCTCGATATGGATAGTGAAATGGATGGATGGGCAGAGGCATACATTCCACTAGTTGGTGTAGATCACGTCTGAGGACCACTTCACTCTCACAGTCTGCTTTCTTGTACCATGAACTCTGACGTGTCGTTCCTTGGAGCGCAGACCAAGACCAGAGCTCATAGTGGCTCATGGCAGACGTCGTTCGTATGTAGGATTACATGGGGCTTACAAGGGGATCAGAGGTTGAGGGGAATACAGTAGCATCCGGTTGTACGAGACTGTATCAGTTGATTTGCTTTCACAAGCCTGCCCCTTCCCAATGGTCACTCGGGTTCAAATTTACAGCAGGAACGTAGAACTGTAGGGGCTGCAGTCACTTCTGGTTTGTGCTTGTGTCCACGTGAACGTTGCGTGTGCGCTTGTGCGGAGGGAGCATCAGCCAAAAGGAAGCTGAGCTCAGTTGCGGCGAGGACACCGGGCAACGCATGAACTGCTCAATCCACCAGAGTTTAGTTCGCGTTTCATGTAGTCCACTTGTGATTCGACTGCAGCTGCGACTGAGAGCCAGGACGTCTTCTGGACAGTCTTTGCCCTCAGCCGCGGAAAACCTGAGCAGCATCTTGGTCTGCACGACTTCTGCGGATTGCCAGACGTAGGGAGAGTGTTCCGAGTATGCGAGTGTTGCATATGCGTGTAGACACGATCCGTCTTTCAGGGCACCTACTCTCATGGACTGGGCTGCAACCCACCCGGACATCGCAAGACTGGTTGGTGGCCAGGACCACACTCAGTAGATCGCGTCAGCTGGGGGGATGATACTGCCCAGTGGGCTTGCCAAGCCGTATGCTGCAACAGAGGATCCAGATGAAAAGCTCGGCTTTTTCACCGAATGTGGCAGAGATTGGTCTGAGCAGCGGAAAGTGGCACAAAGCCCGAAAGGGCCAGCCAAACCTGGCTAGGCCGTCTGTATGGTTTAATCCGACACGAGCCACTGGTTCAAGGTTTGCGTTAGACTTCATTGCTTCAACGTTTGTTTCACTCCAGGTTCCGTGACAAGGACCTGCATGTCCGGTCAAATTATACCCAGGAGGTCAAAACGAAACGCAACTGTTGCTTTCTTCTGTTTCTTAGGCCAGAGATGAGGGCTTCTGCACGCTTCTTCAGCAATCCGTCGAAAGCTTGCGATTGGCTGCTTTCTGGCTCGAACTTTGGTTGACTAAAGGAGCCAGAGAGGCAGGCTGAGGCAGGCTGGGACAGGCGGCATCCAGCCGTTGGCGTTGCGACTTTGCAGCCAGCGACAGTGATGCGCGTTGACGCTGCTGAATTTGTGCCCCTCGCTGGATCCTCCAGCGCTGATGGCTCCTGGTTCCAGGGCAGCTCACACCCGGCAACGTCAAGCTCCCAAGCCCCTCTTTCGCAGGGCCCACAAAGCTGCTCTCGGCTAAGGTTCGGGGGAGCTGAAAACGGACTGTCTGCAGACAGTCCTGCCTTTGTTCCTGGCGCACAGGACAGGGCGATGGAAAATTGTCGACATGCCTGCGGCTGTATCTTTCCCGTTGCCTCTCTCAGGATGTATCGTGGCAGGCGCCGCCGTGGGAGGTGGGGAGAAAATGGGAGAACACACAGGACAACAAGAAATCTGTTTGCAGCCCCAATTTTCGCGAAAGGTGTGGCACGGCCAAGACTACGCCGCTCCAGTGCCAGAGTAGCCTCTCTTGAGAAAGCTCTTGTGGGAAGATGCGCAGCAACTCAGCCAACCGTTGAACGTCAGCCTACTAAGGTACAACGCGCCAGAGAGCACGGAAGCTGCGCCGATCGTGACATATGTGGACGAGGCCTCCCCTCTTATGGTTGTGGGCCAGCTCGCTAATGTCGTGACCATGATGCGGACAGGAAACGTTCCTTACTCCTCAGCTCTTGGACGAGATACCGGAGCAAGCACACTCACTGCCTTTGTCCCCAAAGCTCCTTGAACGCATGTACAGTAAGCATTCAAAGGTGGGCCCTCTCGGTTGAAAATCTCCACGTGTTTTTTTCGCACTCCATCCGTCAAGACGTTCTTGTTTCGCTTGACGAGCTTTTGCTTATGTGCGGTAGATAACATCAGCTACTTCCGATGTCACCTTGGTCACATTGAATGTGAAGTCTTCGCAGCACCATTTGCAAAGTGCTCGTGCTTACGACCTTGTCACACGATGCTTGGAACATCAGTCGATTAAAGATCGATGGCCTGCACCAGAAAAGGGGTGACGATTGATGAGCCAAGAGCCAGCTCTCGCCAGCTGCTCCACTGCCCCAGTGAACTCACACTCCTTCCGACCAGCCGATCCACTGAAGGTGGTGCCGCTTCTAGCGCTCTGATGCCTTGCCTCACTCCTTCCAGTCCTTGCACTTCACTCCCTCTCTGTCTCGCTCGTTCTCTCTTTGCTCCCCCCCGCAGTTGGCTCTCTCTCTCTCTCTGTCTGTCCCGCCCTCCTCACGCCTGCTTCGCACATGCTGCACCTGTAGTCGCTCACTCCCAGCTACCTCCGTTGGACCTTCCCCTGCTGCTTCGCCCACACCTTCATGGGCTCCCAAGATGGTAACATCGGCCACGTCCACAAGGCAGGCCGCACTGGCCTGTCCAAGTGAACCCGCCGCCCTTTATGATCCCAAGAAGCGAATAATCCAAGTGTGCCCCGACAATATCCGAAGAAGCACAAGCTCGGGCAATCTGAAGAGGCCATGGCAGCGATCGGGGCGTATGTCATTTCCCATTCAGGAGGTAGGACAACGAATGATCGTGACCTTGTCGGGGAAGCTGAATCGGTGGTTGTAGAATTGTAGAATTCAATGCCGCTGTGCAAAAGCGTGGGAGCGAAGCGTGATTACTTGACGAATCGTACAGCACGGCTAAGCTGTACCGAAATGTTCGTCGAGTGCTGTCTGAAATCACAGACGAGTCTTGACACGGCCGTCACTAGTTTTCACGTTTGAAGCGACGAGCCGCGCGAGCTGAAGCGTTTGGCAAACTACCGCCATTAATTGTAGATCTGATGGCTCGACACAGGGTCTCTTTGAGCACAGGTTGAAAGCTTAAGACCGATTGCCTTCGCTGTGCCACTGTTGTGGGGTTTCCGGCACCTTGAGACCTTGAGCTTTCCAATCCAAGCCAAGACTGGATCCGTTGCATAGGTCCGGCAAGGAGACCCAAGATGACGGCAGCCTTTCAGATGCTCTACTGCAGTGACCGTGCCACCTTTTCCCACGGTATCCTTCTGTCTGCATCCTTTCTGACGGTGGCTTAGGAAACTCCCGACAAAGAGCACCGATCCCAGTAAGACGTGCAAGGTGTTCATGCTTGCATCGGTACAGTGGTCTGTCGGGCATTTCTGTTCTGTTGCATTGGCTAACTTGCAGCAACTGCATTGCATGCATGGGCATGCATCGTCCGGCAAACATTGAACCGTCTAGGAGGTGGCCATCACCCCTGCTGCATACCGAGGTTTGTGTTCTTACACAACCACACAGGCTTTGGCGGCAGTCAAGCAGCGACCGCGACGACAGAGGAACGATCACGCCACAGCGAGCTTACAGGACCGGAATCTCACAGCCACCATACCGACTGCCTTTTCAACAACTTCCGTCTCCGGCAGCAGGCACTGGTGGCGCGGCCAGTAGCACTTGTCCGTCGGCAACTGCTGGCTGCAGCGCGGGTGTGCTCAGCGTTCATGGTCGCAAGCTCCTCTGGACTCTTACAGGAAGGGATTGCCGCAGCCTTGGCCGTCGGAGCATCTCCCAGCAAACTGTCAGAATCCCACAGCCGGCAGGCCGCAGGCGATTGCTTTTTTCAAGTTATCAATCCACAGTTTCGCTTTCGCATGTTCCCTAGTGTTTCCCGCACGGCCATGTCGATCTAGGAATCGCGCAGTCATGTCGCCCATGAAGATGTTGGCACAGAGGTCAGAGCTGCAATGATCTCTTCGTGCTGGACGAGTGGCCTCAGGGCGAAGGTCCGTCAAAGGGTTGCATGGGAAGCTGATCGTGCTGAGTAGGCTCGGAATGTTCCGCACAAAGGAAGTGGTGTTTTAGGTCTGCGTAAGGTGGACTGCCGGACGCACGATCAGGATTCTAGCTTTCCGGCTGATCGTGGTTCAAGGAAAGAGGGGCAGCTGTTGTAGCACCGACAACCGGCGACGGGCGAAAACGAATCGAGAGCTGCAGCAGATCCTTGCCCATGTTTGGAACAGGCAAGGCAGCGCAGCCTGCAGCACCGATGAGCGAGCAATCAGGACAATGTGCAAAACCGACCGCAAGCTCTTGGCAAAGCAGCTCCAGTGCAAGCAATCTCCGAAGAGCAGCGGCAAGCTCCACAAAGAGATCAAACAAGCGAAGTCCTGGAGACATGCCCTGCATCTCCTTTACAGTCAGGACCATCGAGGTGTCCTGGCATGTACTGCGGCCTTGAGCAAATGCAGCTACCACTGGAAACATGCCCTGCATGTGTTGTCGGATTTTGCCCCGTATGCGGTGGAGAGAAACACCGTGACCTTCAATGCGGCCACCAGTGCATGCGGCAAGGGCCGCTCTTGGCAAGGTGCGTTGCTTCTGCAAGAGGCGCTACAAGGGAGTGGACTTGAGGCCGACACGATTTCTCACAACGCTGTCGTGAGCGCTTCAGAGATGTTCTCCCAGTGGAAGCGTGCTGCTGCGAGTTTAGTGCGCATGAAAAGCGGTACAGTTGTTCTCGAATCCCGGCTGCTACGGAAGCATTTTGCTTTGGCTGCGTGGCGGAGTCCCACCGGCTGAGTCGTAGAAGAGCTAGACGCCACGAGCACACCAAAACTGAGGACAGCATCACTTTCAACTCTGCGATCTCTGCATTGGAGAAGGGTGCTCAATGGCGTGCAGCCCTCCTACCCTTAACCAGCATGTTGTGGCACGCATGCCGCCCTAGTGCCGGTCCCCTAGATGTGTGTGTGTGTGTGTGCGCTGCAATGTGTCGAGGCCGTCGCTCCCCGAAGCCCAAGGTCGTGACCTACGGCGCGGCCGTGAGTTCTTTCACCAAAGCAGAGACCTGGCACGGGGCCTGGCAGCTCCTGGGGCAGATGACCATCAGACAGCTGCAGCTCTCCATCGTCGCCTGCGGTGCTGCAGTCAGCGGCTGTGAGAAAGCGGGCTCCTGGACGACAGCCCTCGGGTTGATTACACAGATGGATCACCGGAGCTTGTCCTCCAACATCATATCTCAAAGTGCTTCGGTCAGTGCCTGTCAGAAGAGTGCCCGCTGGCAGTGTGCAGCATTGCTCCTATCTGGGGCAGAAGTCAATGCGGTTCAAGCAGACCGGCCCATGCAGAATGCCTTGATTTTTGCATGCGCCAGCGATAACCAATGGGTCGGAGTACTGAGCTTGCTCGACGCTTCGCCAAACCTGTCTTTGCAGCCGAATGTCGCGACATGCAACTCAGTCCTGGCCGCTTTTGAGGGAGGAGGCTGGCAAGAAGCCTCCTGCATCCTTGCCCGCATGAAGTCCCTGGAGCTGAAGCAAGACGTGATAACACACACTTCTGTTTCCAGCATCCTGGAGAAAGTTGTACAGTGGCGGCGCTCCTTGCACCTTCTCTTCATCCAACGAGTAAGCCCCCAAGAGACCAGCGACAGCTTGAGCCTGCTCAACATGAACTCGGTCATCAGTGCCTGTGCACGTGCAGAAAATTGGCGGATGGCTTCTTGGAAGCATTTGGAATCAGCGAGGGCCGTGGGGCTTGCCTTGCCTCACTGTGGATTCTTTCGAATCTCGACCTTAAGGTCGCAACGATGATGGGCCGCATGCAGGATGAATGGCTTGAGCCAGACCTGGTGACATGCAATGCAGCCATCACCGCCCTTGAACGACGCCACGACAAAGCCACACAAATCTTTGATCAAGCCGTCTTGCGCAGTTTGCAGCCCAACGAGATCACATGCAACGCCTTGCTGACGTCATGTGCGATCGGGCACTCGTGGCAAGCAGCACTGAAGCTGTACGCATGGATGCGGAGTTCTGCCCTCGAGACAAACATCATCTGTTTAGACATGGCCCTGTTGTCGTGCTGCGCCGGGGATCAGTCCAAGCTGGCCCTAAACATCTTAAACTCCGTGCAGCAGCAGTACTCATCTGTACTGCAGTCTTGGAAGTGGTAGCCCAGCATCTGTGTATGCTGCTTGTCTTAGCTTCTGAGCCCGGCACTCATCGTGTCCGCGAGTCGAAGGTCTTTTTCAGTTTCACGCTGCAGTGTCACCAGCCAAGTTCGTGCGCACCTTTTGCACCATGGTGGGGATGGCGGGGGTGCCTGCAGACTGTAACTCTCCACCCATGTTCCAGCTGCTATCCATGAGCATGTTTCAAGCTCTCGTTCCACTGTTGCCTCCTCTGATGTCTCGCAGGTGTCGAAAGCCAGCGGTTCGTGGTTGCAGGAACACGGGGATTGCAGTTTGCGGCATCGTGCAATTATCGAAACTGTCGACATGTTTTGCCCAGTTTTTGGAAGTTTGTCTTCGAGGTAGATTGAGCCTGAAAACCACAGAAAGCAATGATTCCTGCCAGGAGTGATCTTGAGATTGGTCTTTTTCCCTGCTGGCTCTGCGTTGACCGGAGATGGCGACTGCGCGGTCGGGTTGCTCTCCGAGGACGCCTGTTGCCAAGCTATCAGCCTTATAGCAACGAGTTCTTCAAAAGAGACTGGGCGACCAGCACTTGCAAAGGTTTGCAAGCTTTCAACAAGGCTATGTGTGGAAGCTCAACAGAAGAGTGAGAGACACAAGGTTCTGCGTTAGTGGCCGGGAGTAGCTATGGAATGGAAGTCCGCACATCCCAATCTGGGTATGAACAGCAGAAGCACAAAATGGGGTGTAGATTCGAAAAGGGCAGAGGAGAGGGCAAAATTCCCCACGGGCACTTCGCCATGCTGGAGTAGAATCAACCTTGCCAGGGCAAAACCATAAAACGCTCAATACCAGAAACGGATGCATGTTCGACTTGTGGGCAATCTTGCAAAAACCCAGGCACGAGATTGACGCCCGCAAGCCCCACACTGCAACCGCGACCAGTAATCCTCATTTGCGAGTCAGAGTGTCAAAGTGTAAACCCCAGTGAAATTCTGTTCTAGGAGCTGGGTGTTGGCCTCTCAGTTAGATGATATCTTCGGCTTGTTTAATTACTTGTGCATCTTATTTGGCTTTGGACGAATGTGAATGAAGACACTCTTGCTGGAGATCCTAGGCCAATGTGCGAAGGATGTGTTAGATACTGGTTGTGTATGGTTTTAGGTTCTTGCATCATGTGGGGTTGGGCTGTTTTTTTTGAGGCAGGACCTTCGCAGGTGGTTGAATAGCAGCTTAGTCGTTCTGAGAGGCTTGTTGCTGGAATCCGTGCCTGCCTTGTGCGAGCGTGCGAGTCGAAACTGACTGTAGAGACTGTAGTCTGTTGTCCATATGTTCATATGTGACAATGTCACTGATGTTGTAATGCGCAATGCGCACACAAACGCCTCGCCCGGATTGTCCCAGCTGTCGAGTCGAAACTGGTACGTATAGTGTTTCAAGTTCAACTTCGCAAGCCTCCTTGTCCATGCAGCTTTCGACCCATCCTCAGCCCTGCTGCTGAAACAGAATCGTGAAATGCTTAATGCTCGTTTCTGACGCACGGACTTTGATTGAGTCTGGTTGGGGAAGTCACGGCCTCATTCAGAGCTCTTGCGAATTTCACTGCGCTTCTCCATCCTCAAAGTTGTTCCATCGACGGCAAGAGTTATGTAATCTCGAATGTGTCTTATCGTGGTAACTGTTTAAGACGGTCTCCGGGTTTGTTACCTCTAGGAGCTGGCAGAACTGCAAGCGACATCGAGTCAAATATTTCTGCGGTCTGCTGATAGACACCGTCAGTTTGGCACGGTATCGCCAGCCTCGATTGATTGGCCTCGCATAATTGCATCACACACACCGCGAGCAAGCCTCAGAATTCTCGGTAACAAGGCACAGAGCAAGTGGAACTCTGCACCGAGTCAGATGTGCAGGACAAGGCTAAGTTGAAGTTCGAGCTCTTCCTGAACGATCGGCGGAGTGGCACAAAAGTGATGCTCGGGCAGAAGTTCAGCGCCCTGGATGCATTGGAGTCAAACGGAAAGCACAGCGTGCGCAATACCATTAAGAATCTTTTTTGATGGTTAAAGCAAGTTTAGAGGCGGCCTTTAATGTTAGTTGAGGGCATTCTTCCTTGTTTAAACCCAGCAAGCCCCTCCAACCGGCACTGTCGGCTCGTCATGAAGGATGGCACAGGGCTCTTTACTGCTTTACTGCAGAAATGTTCCCCGTGTGTCCTGCCCATGCCAGCCTGCCGTGTTTGAGCATGGCAGCCCGACATCGAGCTTTTGCGGTGTCCTGCGATCTTCCTTTTGCTCGAAGCCGAGGTTGCGACTTTCGTTTCTTGGCTCGGCAACAGAGCGACAGGGTCCAAGCAATCACACGCAGCACCAACCGGCAGCGAAGGAAAGCCTGATTTCTCAAGCGAGACAGACACGATCACAGTGGGGCTTGAAGTTTACAGCAACCTGAAGCTTGGACTGCATTAGGTGAATCTCTGAATACCTGTGCTCACACGGAGGCCCCAGAGTGTTCCTTCCCTGAGGTTCTACTTCGGCTTCTCCTAAGTGAGATGCGCTTGAGCGCACGCGCGTGCGAGGTAGAAAAGACCATGTGATAGCATATGTTAGTTTCAACTTGTTCGAGTAAGTGTTTGCGTTTTCCTCCCGACTCGTTACTTCCATTATTTCCTACCTACGATTGATTGCTAACAGACAACCAACAAGACAAACACCAAGGTTCGATTGATTTGATCACCATTTTTGAGTGCTGGGATTGCAAAAATCCAGGTAAGATTCACTTTTGGCTCCAAAGCATTTTGTAGTCTTTTTGGAATGTAAGATGCAGGCAATTTTGGTGTTCATGTTTCAACTTTTTGCTTTCATAAGTTTGAAGGATTGTTCAGTTGTAAATTGGCAGTGGCTTACCTGTTCGTGTTTTCACGTCTCGTGCGTGAGTTTCTACAGACTCAACCGCAAAGTTGCAGCAAGTGTTTCTTGTTACTTACTGACTTTCTGAAGTTTCGGCTTTGGCAATATGTTATCGGCTGCATGTTAACTCCATGTGGAAATGCATTTCCGTGGTCGACCGCCAACACCATCACCGAAAACAGGGCCACCGCACACAATAGCAACAAACAGCGTGCAACAAGGTTTTTGCCTTGTTGTGAACTTGCGAACGAAGAATGTTTTGGCATGGTGAGCACAAATGTTTTTTATCTGATGTGACATTCTCACATGTAAATATCAGAGCCGTGACAGCCTGGCATATCCACGTAGCAAGCCCGGACACTTATCGCCATGCCTGCAGTTGCGCGTGTGTGAGTCGAAACATCAGATCCATGACAACCCTTTGATAGCCATAATTACGGAAAGCGTGCGCAGTACGACGCTTTACGGCTGCAGGGGCTGCGGCTTTGGACCGACCTGCGAACCTGCAAGCCCTTCAAAACTCGGCGGATGGCGATTCACCAGTGCGATTTGCCATTGCCTGCGCGGTTTTGCGGTCGATAACTGTATTTAACACAGGGAGCTTGCCTCTGCCCGCCTTGCTGTTTCTGGTTGTGAAGATCCACCCGCCGCATGAACGACGAACGCAGCCATGGTTTTGTTCGTCCTCTCTGCAAGGACACTGAATTGGGGAACGTGGCGGGGGCGTTGAGCTCAGAGTTTGTGGTGCCCTCGGGCCCGCGCCTCACGGCCCGACCTGCTGCTCTTGGGTGGTTCCTGCAAGTCATCCTGCACATGACTGCAAGGCCTCACCTTTTATTGCTGGCACGGCAAGTCTGCCTTGTTTTCCATCCGTCTCTGCGCCGACAAGGTTGCATGTGTCGCGATGCCGGCGAACCCGAATTCGAATCTTGCCGCAAACGTGCGAAGTTAAAGCCTCGTTGCCGGTGCCACCGTCCGCTGCCAAAATTTGCTGCCGACGTACGTCACGAGTGTTTGCACAGAAACAGAAGAAGGTTCCGAATCTGAATCGTTTTGTTGTCATGCACAACAATAACTTCCTGCGCAGACTGCCCGGGTTTTCGGATAACGTGTGCTGGGGAGGGATCTCCCGTGGGTCTGTGGTGCGCTGGGGTGGTGCGCCTCACACGGCCCGACCTGCTGTTTCCGAGATCTTTCGAGTGCGCCTGGTCGTGCGCAGAAATGGGACATGGTAGGAATAGGAGCCCGTGGGAAAGGTGGGAACAGGTGGGAACGAATGGGACGTGAGACAAATGGGAGGGAACAGGTGCACACTCCCGTCTGTCCAAGACTTACAGGCAACATGGCTATTGCTGCACTACTGTGCTGCTCCACGGGCCAACTACCTCCTGCGGTCCCTGCCCCCAGCCACGACAGCAGCCTATGCTTCCTCGCATGATGCGGCCGTAAGCAGCTGCCTCTCAACGCCTGTGGGTCTTGTGGACGCACCGCTGCCCCCCCAACCAGCACGAGCAGCACGGCTCGCGCTGCGGTTTGGCGGACTCGGTCTGCGTGCAGCCGATACCGACTGCCACGCAGCCTACTGGGCTTCCTGGATGGACACTCTGCCGGTCATCCAAGCCCGAGTCCCTGCAGCTGCGGAGCGCCTGCTCGCAGCCCTGCACGACGACAGAGCTGCACGGGTGCCTTCAGTGCCTTCGCTGTTGGCTGCAACACAGGCGGCGGCTTACCTCACCACACAAGGCTATGCGGTGCCGTGCTGGGACGAGGCCTTCTCCAATGCGCCAGGCCCGCAATCCCGACATGACGAGCCCGCCGATTTTCTGCGTGGATGGCAGATGAGCGCGCGCTCGAGACGCACCTTGCTGAACTGTCCCCTGCGTCCCGAGCGCTGCTG